CAGTAGTAGCACCCTCAGGCTCAGCACCCCCAGGCGTAGCACCCACACGCTCAGCACCCCCAGAGTCAGCACCCCCAGGCTCAGCACCCTCAGCAGCACCAGAGTCACCAGTAACCTCGACAGGCTCGACTGCGTCTACCTGGGACACACCTGAAGGGGCAGGACCCTGAGGGGGGAGGGGGTCTACCGGGGGGGGACCTGGCACAAGGAAGAGCGGTGGTGGGGGGAGGGACGGAGTGCGGTAGGGGAAGAGGCGGTAGTAGGGGACCGACTCGTCAAACGTGACGTCCTGGGAGGACAGAACACGGCGAGAGGTGGGGTGGTAGAACTGCCACCCTGGCGCGTCAGGGGGGAAGCCAAGGAAGACGCAAGGAGCAGCACGAGGGGACAGCTTGTCCGCAGACAAGTCGCGGACAAACGCCCGAGATCCCCAGACACGGAACGCAGACGCATCGCCAACCTTCCCCGTCCACAGCAAAGCTGGGGAGGTCTCCGGTCTGGAAACCCTAGGGTGAAGGTTGATCTGATGCGCCGCGTACCGAACCGCAAACGGCCACAGAAAATGGGGGGCAGCCGCATGCATCATGGACGTACGGGCAACGTCCATGACCATGCCAATGCGGCGCTCAGCAATCCCATTTTGCTGTGGAGAGTCCGGAAGCGTGAAGGTCTGGCGGATGCCTCGTGCTCGACAGTAGGCTCGCAGAAGGCCAGAGGAGAACTCTCCACCTCTGTCAGAGTGCAGACGCAGAACAGGAAAGTCCGAACCGAAGCTCTGCCTGAGCTGGAGACGAGCTGCGCGGATCCAGTCGATCAACACCTCAGTGACATCACCCTTGCTGCGCAAGGGGAAGACTGTGGTGTAACGCGAGTAGTCGTCAACCACCAGCAGGAAGTAGCGCTCGTGACCCTGTCCACGGACGCGGGCCGGGCCCCACACGTCCATGTGAAGCGTCTGCAGCGGGGCCTCTGTCGGAGGAAACTGGGAGGAGTGAGGGGCAGCCCGCTGCCGCCCCTCGACACAGGGGACGCAGGTAGGGCCAGGCCCCGGAGGAAGGGGAGGGAGGGACCGGGGAAGACCAGAGACAAGGACACGGGAGGCCATGCCTCGGAGACGAAGCAGGGAGGGGTGACCAAGGCGGTGGTGCCAGAGGAGAGTCTCGTGAGACAGGAGGCGACACGAACAGGGGGCAGACTCAGGACCAGACCTGGACGCTGCAGCAAACACCTGACCTGACGCAGCTACCTGACCAGACGCAGTGACTGGAGGAGACGCAGTGGTCAGGGTGTACAGGCTCGACCCCGGCCGACGGGTAAACGTGGCCAGGTGTCGGCCAGTCCGAGCGTCCGTGCAGTGGGTCACCCGCTGACTCCCAGGAGTGAACTGGTGAACCCCCGCATCCTGTAGGTCAGCACCACTCACCAAGTTCGTAGAGAACGAGGGGAGGTAAAGACCAGACAGGGTGCCAGAGGGGGCCGCCGGACACGGGAGGACAGTGGAGAAGTGAGCAAGGACAGGACCCCCAGAGGGGTCTGCCAGAGAGACCGCAACTGGCCGGCCAAGCGGCGTGAGTGTGGTGCGGTCTCGAAAGAAGGAGCGAGAAGCCCCCGAGTCAAGGGTGAAGGTGTGGGAGGCCGAGGCCGACGCAGAACCTGAGAGAGCAGACTCACCAGCACCTGAGGGAGCAGACGCACCTAGAGCAGCAGCCTCGCTAGCACGTAGAGCAGCAGCCTCACCAGTACCTAGAGCAGCAGTCTCAATGCCCGGGTCGGGCGGAACACACCGGTAACAGTCACCCTCATCACTAATAGTCACAGTATACATGGCAGCAAGAATAGCATCAAAGTCAAGGTCAAAGACAGCCACACCCGCCCTAGACAGATCACCCTAGCGGGGGATCTCAGTGGCCTCAGGGAACTGGTGACGCCAAGCGTCCGTCAGGCGGCCAAAGCAGCGCTGGGTGGAGTGCGCACCCCCGCACTGCTCACCCGCGCGGTCGCCGGTGCGGAGGACGTAGGTGCACGGACCAGTACCCCCACCCCTCTGGCGTGCAGCGTACCACTCACGGAGCTGCTGAGGGGAGGGGATGTCACGAGTGCGCTGATGCTGCTGCTGATGCTGCTGCTGCTGCTGCTGGCGCTGACCACCACCGGAGCCGACTCTCTGCGCAGCGCCACCCCGACCAGCTCCACCTCCTCCGCCGCCTCCTCCTCCACCGCCGCCACCTCCGCTCCCACCGCCACCGCCGCCGCCGCCTCCGCCTCCACTGCCACCACCGACACCTCCACCCCCGCCACCACCCCCACCGCCACCCCCACCCCCTCCACCGCCTCCACCGCCGCCTCCACCGCCCCCGCTAGCTCCTCCAGTGCCCCTGCCCCCCTTGCCCTTGCCAGGGCGGCGTCTCCCGCTAGGGGTAGACGCCGCACCGACCGACTCAAGCCCAACGAGGTCGGCCGCAGCAGCAGAGGCAACAGAGGGCAAAAGGGGGGAGGGGGAACACCCCTCAAAGATGGGGGTGCGAGGGTCACCACGAGAGGCTCCTACAGCTACTATGCTCTTCTCTGCTGCTAGGAGGGACTTCTCGAGGAGGTCAACGGTGAGAGTGGTGGGGCAAACAGAGAGGAAGTGGTCCCTGACTACGCGAAGGGAGTCAGGGAGCCGGGTGACTATGTAGTAGAGGGTGATGTACATGGGGGGGGGGTTCTTGGCGCAGAACTCTGCAGGAAGCGCAGCGCGGTAGCGAGTGTCACTAGTGCGGAGGTGCGTAATGAGGTCAGCGACTGTGGGAAAGGCAGCAAGGTCAGGGAAGAGGTACGGTAGCATGAGGCGGCTAAGTGCAGCAGTGGCAGGGGAGGAGTAGCGCGCAACTACAGCGTCGTACAAGGTCTGAGCACTCTTGTACTGGCTAAAGTGCGCACGCTCAGAGGTAGGTAGGTGGCGACGCACAGCAAGACGTGCAGCAGCATCGCGCGTGGCCCACTGGGAGCGAACAGTGGCGTCAGCAGCAGCAGCGGGGGCAGGAGAGGCACCAGAAGTGAGGTCAAAGAGGGAGAGGCCGTCTGCCCTGTCGCACTGTAAGAAAAGCTGCAGGTCATCTATCCAGACGTCAAAGTCAATGGCCCGACCCTCAGCGTCAAAAGCGAGGACACTAGGGGTAGCCATGACAGCAGTAGACTAGCAGCGCAAACAGTAGGGTGAGGGCAGTGCTGTGAAAGGGGCGCTGCTCTTACCGGACAGGGCGGCTCGGGTGGCTCGGCTGTAGGGCGGCTCGGCGGCTCGGTTGCTGGGCGGCTCGGCGGCTCGGCTGCTGGGCGGCTCGGCTGCTGGGCGGCTCGGCTGCTGGGCGGCTCGGCGGCTGGGCGGCTTGGCTGCTGGGCGGCTCGGCGGGGCCGCTGGGAGGAGGCGGCGGGGCCGCTGAGAGGAGGCGGCGGGGCCGCAAAGGTAGGTGGCGGGGCCGCAGGTAGGTGGCGGGGCCGCTAGTAGGTGGCGGGGCCGCATGTAGGTGGCAGGGCCGCTGGTAGATGGCGGGGCCGCACAGGCAAGTGGCGGGGCCGCGGAGGTAGGTGGCGGGGCCACACAGGTAGGTGGCGGGGCCGCGGAGGTAGGTGGCGGGGCCGCACAGTGAGGTGGCGGGGCCGCGAAGGTAGGTGGCGGGTCCGCACAGGTAGGTGGCGGGGCCGCGGAGGTAGGTGGCGGGGCCGCACAGTTAGGTGGCGGGGCCGCGAAGGTAGGTGGCGGGGCCGCACAGGCAGGTGGCGGGGCCGCGGAGGTAGGTGGCGGGGCCGCACAGGTAGGTGGCGGGGCCGCGAAGGTAGGTGGCGGGGCCGCGTAAGGTGGCGATGGGCGCGACGGGCGCGACGGGCGCGACGGGCGCGACAGGCGCGACGGGCGCGACGGGCCGAAAGGGCGGCGCGAAGGGCCGTAGGGGCGGCGCGACTCGGGCCGGAGCAAAACGCGCTCCGGGCAGGAAAAAAAAAAAAAAAAAAATTCGTGGTGGTGGGCCCTAGGAATCGTTCCCACTAGGGAACCTGCTCGATACCATGAGAAGAAACGAGGAATGAAATGACTAAGGGAAAGTTGGGTACAAATGCAAACCCTAGAAAACTGTACCCCATATGTGCTACCCCACTATAGCCTACAGTAGCTATGTCATATAAATCTGACACAATGCTATTTCTACAATAAAGGCATGCCATTCGGAAGGATGTATTATTTTCTCACCTCCAAGATTATCCCACGCTGCACTAATCACACATTTATTTAAATAAAAGTATTGTCGCTTTTCCGGGAAAATTTCATCATTTTGCAATTATGCAATCATGCTTGCAAAAATATAATTGTACTTGTTAGTACTATATTTCAGAGCTTAAAATAGATATGAAACGGCTCTGAAACTATTTGGTCCGTGGTAATTGAACAAACGCGATCCTTCAAAGTCACGGCGGGAATCGTTCAAGATCGATTAAACGGTGCGTGAAATCTTTCAATTTAACAAATTCCTCTTAGTCAGGATCATTTCGGCGGGAGTTTCATCTAGTTACCATTCGCGTGATCATTCGCCTGTGCTAAGTTACCAATTGCGTGAAACGAGTTACCAAACGCGTGAAAATGTACTGTAATAGTTAGTGTTCGCGTTAAAGAGCCCCATGTATGTTACCATTGACATACTTTCCCAAAAGTTGTTTATTTACAAAAACACTGGTTGTTAGTACACGAATCTCCTCGATAATCCTCAGCGGCCAACCCGCACCATGATACATCCAGTGTCCATCCATCCATGGCTGACATAGTCAACTGGAGAGGCTGATAGGTACGTAACTGGCATCGAGTAACGTGCTAGATTAACGGCTGATTCTTCTGCGTCAGCCTCCGCATTTTCTCCATCGATTGTATCATGGATGGGCCAATCAGCGTGCGCCTTTCTTCCTGCGTTTCGCCGCTTTCCTCTGTGATAGTTCCTTGTAACTACGTCCGAACGAACGCCGCGCCATGCGCTATGTTAACTATCGTGCGCAGCTCCTCAATAACCTCGCCACACCAACAGCCGCAAACCCCCACCATACTTCTCCCCTTGCACGCACGGATTTCCCGCGAAGGAAATCCGCGGCTCTTTTGCTGTTCGTCCACGCACCCACGCATCCGCGTACCTGACGCCTCTTCCGTAATTCCCGGTGTCAGCGACGCAAGTAACCCGCACACGTCCAGCCCTTCGAACGGCGCACATGCCACGTGGAGGATCCCGGAGGTTCCTCACGAGACAGCAAGCGAGCCCCGCACATCTCGGCGGTCCCTCTTGCGCCTACCTCTGGTTCTCCTCCTTCCGCCCCTCTCCACCCTCCTCCCCTCGCCTTTCCCGCTAATAACGGACGCCGAAGCCGCGGAAACAGCAGCAGCAAACAGCAGCAGCAGCAGCAGCAGAGGCGGCGCATTCACGGAGGTGGAAGGGGGAGTGCAAGTGGCGGACATTCGGCAGGGCACAGGAGCCATGCCGGTGGATGGGCAGACGGTGGCAGTGCATTACTACGCGCGGCTGGGGGCGAAGCAGGGCTGGCGGTTTGACAACACGTTAGAGCACCGCGATGCGAGCGGGGAGGCGATTCCGTATGAGTTCGTTGTTGGGTCCCCCAAGGTGCTCGTGCCTGCTGGATTTCTGTTGCCCACTGCGTGTTGCCTGTTGCTTGTTGCCTGCTTCCAGGTGCCTGCTGCCTATTATCTGTTAGTTGTCGGTGGTTGACTGTACCCTTGGGAATGGGTGGAAGGGACAGGATGATGCACACACCCTTGCACTCACCCCCAAGACAGCAACATCTTATCATCCATCATTCCATCTCCTCAAAATCCATCATCCCATCCCACCTCAGGTCATTCAAGGTCTGAGCATTGCGGTGCAGGGCATGAGGGTGGGTGGTGTGCGCAGAGCCATCATCCCCCCCAACGTGTCGTATCAAACCAGAGAGGATCTGCCGCTTCCTCCCAGAGTATGCTCATAGCTTACCCTGGGTTGTTTTGGGCCATGATGGTGTGGGGTTGGACCCACTGCTGCTGTTCATGTCTCTCGTCGTCACCATTCCACTGGCCCATTCCTGTGTTTTGCCCGTTACCTTTGATCATCTTCTTACCCAGTTCCTGAATTTCACTCCCCTCACAGCCTTATCCTTTAGCTAAGCACCCTCTTTCCTCCAGTAACTCCTTCGTTGTCCATCGATGTGTTTCCCCTTCCTCTTTAACCTTGTGGGATCCTCCGCAGTATTCTGACAGACAGCGCCTGTTCACAACTGTCTTCAACCCTACACGCCTTGCCAATGGGGAAGGGTCTTCGCTTGGCACAGTTATCTTTGACATCCAGCTGCTTGGAATCAGAAGCCCATTGTAGCTGTGATTCATCTGTAATTCTCAATATGCATACGTTTCAATTCCAGAAGTCTATTGTAAACAGTGGCTCATCTGTAGTTCTCAATATGCATCTCTAAAGCCACATCCGCGCAAATTATGGTAAATCCTGCTTCCTGATTATCGGAACATCAAGTAAAGAGTTTGGTCCACCATGCATTCAGTCAGTTGAGTCCTTTCCTTTAGGGGGGACTCAGACAATTACATTCTCTCCCTACTACCGGTAGCAAGTACAGAGTGTGTCATGAAAATACGGGCAAGTGACAGATAGCTTATCAAAAAGGAACAAGAACATTTTTTGGAAGTTGCTACTAGGGGAAGCGAGCTTTCAAGCAGACTTGACAGCTGCCGCCTTGGAGGTGACAGAGTTGCAGATGGCAGCAAAATCAGGTCCCTGCACACACAAATACACAAACCACGGGCTTTAACTCGCGATATGAACCAAATGGACCCACCTATACGGAAATGCAACTAAAGCAATGTGCCTGAATTAATGGCGAGTGATAAGGACAAGCAGCGCCAGCAGCAAAGTAGCAATATTGTAAGCCACAAACCTTTAGCGAGGCACCGCCAACGAGGAAACCGTCGATATCCTCTTCCTTGGCAAGCTCAGCAGAGTTGGCAGCAGTTACGGATCCTGAAGGACAGAAGGACGTGAACAACAGGGCGAGAATTCGGTGGTGTGTGGAGGACCGGAATGAGCCATTACTAGCATGCACAAAGAATGTTCAATGACACGTTTGGAAGGGCATGGGGTAAGGAGAGGGGAGCTATTGATTGTTTTAAACATGCACTCAAATGGAGCCATTTTGAAACTACAGTTCAAACAAATTGGATGGACTGTATGAACGAGTATGCAAGCATATCCTCTCATCACAATCTTTCTCCAGTCAACCACCCCAAAGCCCCGCTCGTCTCACTTCTTTCCTTACACGTCTTAGGGGCAACACATATTATAAAGAACGCTCTTGGCTGATAAGCAATAGCAAGCAACCTCAAAGAAAAGAAGACCAGCAAATCCAGAAAATATGACCTGGGGAAGAGCGGAGGTGACGCACCTCCATAGATGATGCGCGTCTTGGAGGCGACGTCGGAAGACACGTTGGTCTGCAGCCACGTGCGGATGGCCGCGTGCACCTCCTGCGCCTGCTGCGGCGACGCCACCTTGCCCGTGCCAATGGCCCACACCGGCTCGTACGCAATCACCACGTCTTCCCACGAGGACACGTGGTCTGCACGTGGAGGCAACACGTGGACAGGGGGAGGTTCCGTGGTGCGTCGTTACAACGAGTGGTAGCTATCTCTACAATGCAGGAGGGTTAAGATTTTTAGTTTTCCTACGGCAAGACAATCCGAGACCAAGACAGGAAACCCAGAGGCCAAATCCAGAGCCGTTCTGCAGCGTCGGCTTCAGATTAAAAAAACCGCATGGAGTCCGCAAGGAAGCACTGAAACGCGCCGAAGCACCGATATAGACCACTCGGCCGTTTCAGTTCGGTTCAGAAGTTCAGTTATGAAGTGGAGTTGAAACGTGGGATGCTGAGACGTTGGGTTCACCTGCAGTGGCCTTGAGCTGCTCGAAGACCACGTCAAAGGTGTGTCCCGACTCCCTCTCCTCCAGCAGCTCGCCCACGCACGCAATCACCTTGAGGCCCTTGGACAGCGCGTACTCCTGCTTCTGCCCGATGAACTGCGAGCACCAGGGGAAGGGGGGCGACGGGACGGGACGGGAAGGCGGAGAGAAAGCCGTTCGGAGAAACAAGCGACGATGAGCGCAGGATCACGGAGAGTAATGGGGAAAGGCGTTGTCGCGAGGCTGGGAGCGACCACGGGATGGGTATTAAGAGAGTTGGAGATGAGGGGAAACGGATGGAGGAGACGGGGAGGGGTCCAGCGAGCTCAGGACGGATGCAAGGATGGAAAAGAAGATGTTCGAGTGGTGCTGGTGGTAATGGTAGATACAGGCGACGTACCTCGTTGGACTCCTTGAGAATGTGGCGACGCTCGGAGTGGCCGAGAATGACCCACTTGGCGCCCAGATCCACCAGCATCTCGGCACTGCGCGAGATTCAACCAACCAACCAAAGGGAGTCAGGGAACGCACGCCGAGAGGCTACTGACGGAAAAGGGTGACGCAAGAGTGGGGGAGCGAGGGCGGGGAACGGGTAGGCTGGGAGGGAGGGGAACGAGGGGAAGGTTGGGATTGATGGCTGCGCGAATCATGCCCGATGAACGCACCTGATCTCGCCAGTGAAGGCGCCGCCCTTGCTGACCCAGCAGTTCTGGCCAGCCACCTCGATCCTCTTGCTCGCGGCGCCGATGACTTGAGGAAGGTAGACGAAGGGAGGTGACACGATCACGTCTGCAGAATGGGAACAAAGGGGATCCCGGAATTGAGGGAGGAATACAAAGTAGGTCAGGTAGGGTTGTGAAGAGAATGCGGTGGAAGATTCGCCAACCTAGAGGAACAAACAATGTATCTGAAAGTGCTAGACGCCTCGCGAGCAGAAACGCCGTTGCTAGTTGAAGCTACTGTTTAAGGAATGAACGTACCGACATTGTCTTCAAGCGACTCGGCGTTGAGGTCGCTGACCAGCTTGGCAATGGAATCTGAGTTGCCGTTCTGCAGGCGGAGCACGGGAGAAAGAAAACCAACGGTTCGAACAGGGTGAGTCGATATCATTAGACGATAATGATTAGGGGAATGTGTCAGTTTCCACACTACAGATGTTATGAGAATCAGATGCTTCGCAGAGGTGTCTCGTGAAGAAAAAAAAAGGCTGGCAAGAATGCGAGGGTTTAGCGAAACGAGTGGGTTCCGCGAGACTGTGTTCAGTCAGACTATTGAGGGAATGAGAAACTCACGCATTTCCAGTTGCCACCCACGAAGAACTGTTACATGGGAAAGAAAATGTAGGGTACGGAAGAAGAAAGAATCACATGTTATGTCGATACAAGCTCAAGCCATGCCGACGAAAAACTGAACCTTCTTCGATTTAGGGCGAATGCGTTTTGGACTCGAGAATCACCTTCAAATATATCACTCGAGATGGTGAGAGATGAACTGCAGAACTTGGATCTGTAGAACGAGAATGCTCCCTAACAGAAGAACGTTCCTATTTCTACGAGGTAAGATCCTAGCAGGCAGCTTCTCCGGAGAAGGAACAAACCTTGCCGGTCCCGGCCATGGCTGTGACGCGGCTGGAGCCGAAGGATCTCCGCAACGAGTCGAAGGCATTGCCGGGGCACGACGCTGGTCTCAAACCGCCAGACACGGCGAGAGAGTCGAGCTTCGCGGCTGTCTGCGAAAACAGGCCGCTGGAAAAAGCAGCAGCCTTTGCGAGGGTGCACGAGGCGGCAGCCATTGTGAAGCGGATAATATTGTGAGAAGATATTGCAACGAAGCTCGGCTCTCAGCTCTCTGACCTGCGGATTGAGGATCAGATGAGCAACTGGAAATTGGCGACTTCAGAAGTCTGACTGAGCTATGGATGGTGGTGAGTACTGTATGTGAATCTTCTGCGGGCAACGGAATGCTGACTGAAAGCAGCAGCAGCAGCAGCGGCGGCAGCAGGGGAAGCAGCATGGTCAGGGGGAGCCGGTCAGGGATAGCAAAACAGCCCCGCGGTTGAGGGGAGCAGTGGGGGGGAGTAGAGGGGCGGAGGCTGGAGAGGGGGAGAAGGTGGGGGGAGAGTGGGGGTAAAGTGAGGGGGGCTGGGCTGGGAGTGGAGATTTTTTGGGTCCAGCGAGCGGGCTCGCGGAAGGCAGGTTTTGGGGGTAACCAGAACGAAGGAGTTGCGGAATGGCTGGCGGAAATTTCGAGGAAAACGCAGGGAGGAATTCGGCGCGCAGCCAATCCTGGAGGCGATATTTGTGAAAGGAACTGTTCGGTGTGCGGGGATCTGGGGAAACGCGGCAGGGGCTGCTCCAATTGGAAGAATCGCAAAGCGGATTTGTGATGTGGGGGAAACGTAGCTGACCAGGAGGGCGCAAATATTGAGGTCCAGTGAGCGCTGGAGGAAGATGGCGGCCCTGGGCATTATCCGCCACATGTCATTTGCAATTCTATTGGTTGATGCTTGGCCAGTCGAGCTTGGCTGGCTTGCCAAATGGCAGATCTTACACCTCGTGAATGACGTGGAAGCGAAAAAGGACAAAGACCACACACAAGCTTTTGATCTGCTCGACTGGCACTCTATCAGTGAGGAAGTGATAATGCTGCCATCAGCAGTCCAAGTAGGTACAATAACAAAAGTGTGAACACTCAATTATTTTAGGTCACTGTAAGAACTAGTTAAGAAAGAAGAAATAACACACCAAACATGGAAGAAATGCTAATTAAAAAAACCATTCAGAGTTAAAATAGAATTCGAATATTTTGAAAAAGTAGTTTTATATAATAAAATACAAAAATAGTAAGAGCGTCACAAAGAATGTGTTACAATAACCATGATCTTGAATGGCATTCATAAGAACAGATCAGAGAACGCAATAACGGGTATTCCCCTTGAGTCTCATCCCAATCCCTTCAGATTCCCCACCTCGAGTTCCTCATCTACGGATACCCAACTAGGATCACTCGTTGCCCACGCTCGATTCGCCTGCGTCGCATGAGACGCGCCTCGCAACATGGCCGGAAAGAATAAGAAAAAAGGCGGGGGAGCCGCCAAGGCTCCCGGAGGCGGGGTGGCTGCAGGCGGAGGCGGAAAAGACGGCGGAAATGTCCCTGCGGGGAAGTCGGCGTCGGGGCGATCGGCGGGATCGGGGGAAGGGCCGGCCGTGGAGGAGCTATTCACGAAGCTCGAAGGACACATTCGGAAGAGCGAGTTCTCGCGCGTCGTGAAAACAGCGGATGAAAGTACGATGTTCTTTGTAGCATATAGTCTTCCCGAAAGTCACGAATAGCCTGTACTGTTCATGCATATTGGTCGTGATGGCCTTGGTGCCATTGCGGTTTTGTATTCAATTTCTCCGCTTACAGTCAACCTTAGATTCTGTCGTTGCGGTGGATACGGAACCAGATTGCGAGTTCTCGCAATCTCTCCGGCTGCCGATCTGATTAGGGTTTATCGCACTGGGAAGTCGAAACTCCCGATTCGTGTCGAACCTGTTTTTTGGGAACTCCGGCGTCGATCTCTCCCGATCCCGTCTATTCAAACGCGGAGATTAGTCGGTTTCAAGTGTCAGTTGCCAGTCAGTGTTAGTACCCAGAATCAGTCACTGTTGAGAATTCTCAAAAGCGAGTCTTTGACCAGCACATATTGTAAGTGTAGGCCGTTAGCGTCACTAGTCGCCTGCGTAAGTATTCCCGGTTGCTCTTAATGCTCTACCTCTCCTGTTTCCCCGCCCTCTCCCCGTTCTCTCCGCCCACCTCCCCCTCCCTCCTCCTCCACCCCCTCCCCCTTCCTCTCCCTCCCCTCCGAACTCTCCCTCCTCTCCCTCCGCCCCTCCCCCTCGCCCTCTGTTCCCGCCTCCCCCACGCGCGCGGCAGTCCTGGCGGCGAGTCCCGGCGATGCGGACGCGCTGCGGTGCAAGGCGGTGGCGCTCATTCAGAACGGCAGCGTCGCCGAGGCGCTCAAGCTTATGGAGGCGCCCAACGCGCCGCCGGACATGGCGTTCGAGAAGGTGAGGGGCTTCGAGAGGGTGAGGGGCTTTGAGAGGGTGCGGAGCGGAGCTTTGAGAGGGTGCGAAGCGGAGCTTTGAGAGGGTGCGGAGCTTTGAGAGGGTGCGGAGCGGAGCTTTGAGAGGGTGCGGAGCTTTGAGAGGGTGCGGAGATTTGAGAGGGTACGGAGCTTCGTGCTTTTGAGAAATCTAAGGAACACAGAGCGTTTGAGAAGGTACAGATGCTTGTATCGCCTTTGTATTCCGTTGAGCCCTTCGCGCTTGCTTTTGCCTGACGCACACAACCGCACACCACCCACCTGTTTCCCCTCCTATATCTATGCCCTCCCTCCCCTCCTCTCCTCGCTTCTTCCCCGCTCTGTAATCCCTCTTTTCGTGCACGGTCCCACCCTCCTCGCTTCTCTCCCGCGCTCCCCATTCCCCTCCCCTCACTCCCCCCCGACTCCCTTTCCCACTCTTTCCCACATCCTCCAATTCTTCCGCTCGTTACCAATCTCCCCTCTCCCTTCCACCTTTCTGCTCTCCCCACCCACCCACCTCCCATCCCCCCCATCTCTCCACCCCCTCTCTCTTCTCCCCTTTCCCCCCCCTTTCCCCCTCTTCCCCCCTCTCTCTCCCCCCCCCCCCCCCCCTTTTCGCCCCCCTTCAGGCCTACTGCCTGTACCGTCTGAACCGTCTCTCGGAAGCTCTCTCGCTCCTAGGCTCTGTGGAGCGAACAGCCGACACTCTCCAGTTAGAAGGCCAAGTCCTCTACCGCCTAGGGGACTCCGCGGCGTGCATCAATCAACCTCCCCGCTCCCCTTCCACCTTTCCGCTCTTTCCGCACTCCCCCGCCTCTTCTTCTCCTCGCCCCCTCTCCTCCCCCCCCCCCGTCCCTCTCCCCTCTCTTTCCCCCACTCCCCCCCCCCTTTCCCCCCCCCACAGGCCTACTGCCTGTACCGTCTGAACCGTCTCTCGGAAGCTCTCTCGCTCCTAGGCTCTGTGGAGCGAACAGCCGACACTCTCCAGCTAGAAGGCCAAGTCCTCTACCGCCTAGGGGACTCCGCGGCGTGCATCAGCCGCTTTGAAGAGCTGATCAAGCGGCACCGCCTGGACCAGTCGCAGCTGGAGGTGAAGACGAATGTGCTCGCGGCGTATGTGATGGGCGGAAGGAGTGGCGAGGTGAAGGGGCTGATGGAGAGCCAGCTGCGGGTGGCGCCGAGAGACGCGTTTGACGTGGCGTACAACGCGGCGTGCGCGCTGATTGAGATGCGGGATTACCGGGCCGCTGAGGAGATGCTGCTGCTCGCGCGCAGGTGAGGGGGACGGGGAGGGGGGGAGGGAAGGGGGGGAGGGAAGGGGGGATGGGGGAGGGCGCGGGGAGAAAGGGGCTGATGAGGAGGGCGAGGAGTGGGCTGAGAGGAGGAGGGGGGGGGGGGGTACTGGGGGTGAGTGAGTGCGTGCGTGCAGGTATGTACTGGGGGTACTGGGAAGGGGCTGATGGAGAGCCAGCTGCGGGTGGCGCCGAGAGACGCGTTTGACGTGGCGTATAACGCGGCGTGCGCGCTGATTGAGATGCGGGATTACCGGGCTGCGGAGGAGTTGCTGCTGCTCGCGCGCAGGTGAGGGGGACGGGGAGGGCGCGCGGGGAGAGGCGGGGAAAGGAGAAGAGGGAGAGCGGAGGAGAGTGGGGGAGGGCGGGGGAACAGGGGGGTAAAAAGGGTGGAAGGAGAGGGGGAGGAGGGAGGGCAAACGGTGAGCTGGCTGAGGAGGGGGGGATGGGAGGAGGGGGAAGAGATGGTGAGTTTGTGAGCACACATAAGTTACTTCCTCCAATTCTCACACACCCACTTTCACACACTCACTTTCCTACACTCACTTCCCTACACTCCCTCTCCCTCACCTCGTCCTCTTCACCCTCCTACTCTCCTTCCTCCCTCCCGTCCCCCTCTCTCTCTCCCAGGGTGGGGCAGGAGGTGTTGATAGGCGAGGAGCTATCAACGCAGGAGATAGAGGACGAGTCGGCGCCCATCACAGTGACCCCCTCCCCACCCTTCCCCTTTCCTTCCCCCCTTGCCAACCTGCACCTCGCCCCCTTCCCTCTCCCGCTTCCACCCCGCAACCCCCATCCTCCCCCCACCTCCCCACCCCCCTTACCCCACTCCCCCAGGGTGGGCCAGGAGGTGTTGATAGACGAGGAGCTATCAACGCAGGAGATAGAGGACGAGCTGGCACCTATCACCGTACAGCTCGCGTACACGCAGCAGATGCTGGGGCGCCGCATGGAGGCCCTCGAGAGCTACCTCGCCTTCCTCAAGCGCAAGCAGGGAGAGCCTTGAGGCGCCTCACAACCCATCCGTCTGTGTGCCTGTCCCTTCCATTCTCACTCACTTCCCCACACTCGCTCTCCTGCGCCTCTCCCCGGCCTCCACCCCCCACCTCCCCCCACCTCCCCACCCCCCTTACCCCACTACCCTCCCACGCCCAGAGTGGGCCAGGAAGTCCTGATAGACGAGGAGCTGTCCACCCAAGAAATAGAGGACGAGCTGGCACCTATCACCGTACAGCTGGCGTACACGCAGCAGATGCTGGGGCGCCGCATGGAGGCCCTCGAGAGCTACCTCGCCTTCCTCAAGCGCAAGCCTGCTGACGCGCCCTCCGCTGCTGTCGCTGTCACGAATCTGCTGGCCCTGAGGAACGCCAGGGATGTTGTAGATGGGCTGAAGAGGCTCGATCGGGTGGTTGCTGTGACGGAGAAGGGCGGGAAGGAGGGGAAGGGGGAGGGTGTTGAGGTGGTGTTTTTGGAGAATCTGGAGACGAAGCTGTCTCGCAAGCAGAAGGCTGCTGTCATGCTCAATCGCTTCCTGCTGCTCGTCGCTGCTAATCGCCTGGATGAGGTGACTGGGGGGGGGGGGGGGGTAGGGAGGGAGGGAGGGAAGAGGGGAGGGGGGAGGAAACTAGGGAAAGGGAAAGGGGGGAAGGGGGAGGGAAAGGGGAGGGGTGGAGGGATCGTTAGCCTGAGTTGTATGTGGTTGCAGTGAGATGAAATGGTGTGCTTTCGGTTTGGATGGGGATGGCTTGACGTGTGTGAAAGGGGTATGGCTGTGATGACATTGCATGGAATGGCACCGAATCATGTGTCTTGTGTATATATGGCAAGTATGTCACAGCCACTGCTCCCCCACCCCCTCCCCCTCCATCTCATCTCTATCTCCCCTTAGAACCCACCCTTCCAACTACCCCCCCGTCCCTCTCTCCCAACTCCATTTTCCCCCTCTCCTCTCCCCTTCTCCCTTCTCCCCTGTCCTTCCTTCCCTCCCCCCTTCAACCATTGCACACTACGCTCCTGCTTCCGTCCCGCACCTCTGCTCTTCTGTACCTCCGTGGCACCTCCTTTGCATTGAGTATACCCCCTGCCTTCGCCTATTGAGTCGACTCAAAATGCACCTCACTGCACCGCACTGCACCTCATTGCCCCCCACTCACCAGGCACGTGCGTCCCTACCATGTGTGGAGCGCCTACTGCCAGACTCCGACGACCCTCTTCCCTTGCACGCAGCTCTGCTCATCAAGGAGGGTCGCACCGTCCAACTCCCTTTCATCCCCTCCCGCATTTCCCCCGTTTCACCTCATTGTTTCCCCGATCACCCAGGCTCGAGCGTCCCTACCATGTGTGGAGCGTCTACTGCCAGACACAGACGACCCCCTTCCCTTGCACTCTGAGTCGACTCTAAATACCCCTCATCGCGCCTTGTTTCCCCTCCTTGCCCCTCCACTCACAGGCACGAGCGTCCTTACCCTCTGTGGAGCGCCTTTTACCCGACACCGACGACCCTCTTCCCTTGCACGCAGCTCTCCTCATCAAGGAGGGTCGCACTGACGACCTCCCCGCCATCCTCTCCTCCCTCGCCGCCTCCTCCACCTCCCCCTCCGGTTCGGCGCCTGCCGAGCCTGGGACTGAGCCTGGCGCAGTGGCGGGAGGCGAAGCGGGTGGGGGAGCGGGCGCAGGGGTACAGGGGGGAGAAGGGGGGTTCAGTCGTGTGCAGTCGGCGCGGCTGCTGTCGGCGCAGGCAGCAGCAATGGCAGGGCGGTGGGCTCAAGCAGCAACGGAGCTGGGGCAAGTGGAGGGGATCCAGCACAGGCCGGCTGTTGTGGCAACACTCATGGATCTCAAGGTGAGTGGTGTGGAGGGTAAAGCGAGAAGGGGTGTGGAGAGGGCTGGAGATGATTTGAGGGGTATTTTTTTTATTTTTCTTCTCTTCTTGATTTTCAAAATTCGTCGCTGCAGTCGTGCATTCCCATCCTTTAAGGCGCCTCAAAGGAAGGCCTTGTGTTCCCATCCTATGCTACTTCCTGCTGCTAAATGTGTCGTGAATCGTGTAGAGAGTGAGAAGGACACAAACATTCGCTAGATATCCTTTTGCCTCACAAGCGCCCTGTTCCATCATCTAGCACATCTCTCATTTCTACTTCTCAAAAGCTCTCCTGTCCTCACCTTACTTCACCCGCGCGTTTTCCTGCCCTGTCTCTCTCCTCCCATCTGGTGTGCATGCATGTGCGGTGCGGTGCAGGAGAGGGCAGGGGACGTGGCGGGAGCCAAGGCAGTGGTGGATGCAGCAGTGGAGTGGTGGCAGAACCACATGGACGTCGCCTCCTCTGCCACTGACCTTGTATGCCACTCTTCACCACTCCTCGCTCCTGGTCTTCTGTTTCTCTTGATTATCCCCGTTTCTCCCTCGAAACCACATGAACGCTGCCTCCCTTCCGCTGAATTCGTTGTTTGCTCCATGCCTCCTCGCACCTCTGATTCTTCCTCCGTCTCCCCCCCTTTCCCATTCCCTCACACCTTCCCCCTTCCCACAGCACCTGATTTTTCCTCTCCCTGCTCCACCCACTCCCCTCTACCCACAGGCGGCCATCCGAGAGGCGCTTCTGCAAGCGGCAGCGAACACTCCCCGTTACATTCAAGAGGCAGTTCTTATCATACCTACCACTCCCCTCCTCTGCCCCTCTTCTCCCAGGCGGCTATCCGTGAGGCTCTACTGAGAGCAGCGGCGGAGTTCAAGGCGCGGCACGGGGCAACGCAGCAAGCAGCAGACGACTGGCAGGCGCTGAGGAAGCTGGCTGCCAGCCCCACGCTCAAGACGCAGGCTCTCGCAGGGCTGGTGTCTTGCACGTCTCAAGTGGACCCAGGTATGGCGTCGGTGTGAGGGGAGGTGTGGTTTACAGGTGATTTTTTAGGCGTCTCTAAGTCGACTGGCAGGCGCTGAGGAAGCTGGCTGCCAGCCCCACGCTCAAGACGCAGGCTCTCACAGGGCTGGTCCGTGCACGTCTCAAGTGGACCCAGGTATGGTCTTGGCCCGTGGCCTGTAGGTGGTTGTGGGGCATGTCAGCAAGCGGCCTGCAGGCGCTGAGGAAGCTGGCTGCCAGCCCCACACTCAAGACACAGGCGCTTGGTGGGCTGGTGTCATGCACGTCCCAAGTGGACACAGGTATGCCGTCGGTGATTGTGGCATGTTGTGCAAGGATGGAATCATTGAAGTTGGAGTACATTGTAATCAACACCTGGTTTTGACTTTCCTCCAACTCTTGACCTTCCCCCCCCACCTCCCCTCCTTTCCTTCCCCCCTTTCACCTGGTGTTTCCCATCCTAACGCACATATCACCTCTTCCCACACCTCCCAACCCCTGTGCCACACCCCTTGCAGTAACGGCTGAGAAGCTAGCCACGGACATTCCCCTCATGCCTGGCACATCACGCCTTGAACACTTTCAAAACTTCCAAATAGTAATGCGCGTCTCTAAGACCCCTGCCCTCCCCTGTGCCACACCCCTTGCAGTAACGGCTGAGAAGCTAGCCACGGAGCTTCCACCCATGCCTGGCACATCAGGCCTCGACGTCTCCTCTCTCCTGCAGCGCCCCGGCCCGTCCACCTTCTCACACTCTGCTGCTGCCGCTGCACGTGCCGCCAAGCGCCCTGCTCCAGACGATGAGTCTGCTGCTGCGTCTGCTGCTGCGGCAGCGAGCGAAAGGGCTCGGGCGAAAAAGAAGCGCAAGCGGAAGGTGATTCTGCCTAAAGGGTTTGATCCGGCGAATCCCGGACCTCCGCCGGACCCGGAGCGGTGGTTGCCGAAGCGGGAACGGTCGAGCTTCCGACCGAAGAAGAAGGATAAGAGAAAGGTGGATGTGCGGGGGGCGCAGGGGGCGGCAGTGGTGAAAGGGGAGAAGTCGGAGGGTGGGGGTGTGGTGGGGGGACTTACTGGTGATGGCGATGGTGGGAAGGGAGGAAAGGCAAGTGCGGCGGCGGCTGCTGCTGCGGCTGCTGGGAAGGGAGGGGATGGAGGGAAGAAGAAGGGAGGGGGAAGGAAGGGGAGGCGGTGAGAGGTGGGAGAAGAGGGGGAAGAAGAAGGAAGAGGGGATGGGTGGGGGAGTGTGTGGGAGGTGGGAGAGGGGAGAGCAGGAAGGGCTGGTCTTTTGCTGGCTAACATAAGTACTCGCAATGTTTTGAAGGTAAGGTTCCGTGTGATTCATGGAGGATGGCTGCATGGACTAGCTGACAACCAGATATGTTGGCCCAGATGTTATGAGAAGGGCTCAGACACAGGATAGAAAAATGTTGACTCTTTCTTCAACTGGGGTCTTCACAATGTTCCAATGTTGGTAATTTTGTTGGTTATTCACTTATGACATCTAAATTTTGTCCCCAGAGGATATCGCACCAAGCAGCCCAACAGTCTCAAAAGTGCGCTTTTGAAAAACTTGGGCCGCCTCGGATTGGCTGGTGGTGAGGTGGCGGTGTTGCTTCGGCGACACACTCAAAACAGCATTCCTGTTCTGCTTTGCCCGCTGCGGGCAACTGCCACAAAATGTTCGACCTGCTGCTGATCCAACTGCCCGCGAGATCAACCATCCTTCAGCGGGTGGGAGCGTTTCTTATCGCTCAAAACCCTAGTCAACCGTGGTAAGATGTAATAGATCCACTCTCCAGAGCAGTAAAGCTCATGCAACCGCAAGGTTGTTCACAGGGGGAACAGGTTGTTGGGTTGCGGGGAGCAGGAGTAGGATGTTCTCGAGAGGTTTTTTTCACGCGGTTCAAGCTGGACAGGTGTGCTTGGGGCGTGTCATTGTAGGATGTTCATTTGCTTTCTTCAGATAAAAACCCTAACCCAACGTTCTAAATTGCTAACAAACCGCTCTGACACGCAAAGCACCGCATGTCCTGTCACCTGTGTGTTGATTGTTCCAACGGTTTTCCAAGTTTGTTTTGGCCTCCAGAAAAGCTCCTAATCGCTACTAGCTGCTAGTGCTTGTACCACTAGTGCTTGTACTTGGAGCAATGTCCTCACCATTCGTGCCCTAAAGTCAGTTCGGGTACCGAGCTCCCTCAGTTCCTTAGCTCCGGGGCTCCGGGTTTTGTTTCCATTTTGTTGAGCTATTGTGGAGCAGAGGAGCCGTTTGGTGGATAAGTATTCACGGTCAGACATTGCAATTTATAGTGGCCGTAGCAGACGAGATCCAGTCTCGGACTCGAAACCTACGTCACGTGGCCAGGCAGAGACGCAGGGAGGGAGGCACGGAGGGAGGAAGGCAGGGAGGCAGGCGGAGAGGCACGGAGGCAGGCGTGGAAGCAAGGAGGTCAAAAAAATGATCTCTTGTAACAGCTAATCGTGCCTTGCGGAGTCCCACGATACGACGGAGTAGCTACTGATATTCGCCGATCGTCCATTGCGGTCGCATATTGTCGTCGTCTCGTCGCCTTGCGGTCGAAATCCATTGCTCTCGCTGCAGCGCACACACCGTTTGAAGAACAACCCATCCACGGCGTTCGTCAGTCGTTTTCAGAGTCGTCTTCGACGATTTGCGGCGGTTCTGACGGTTTCCGACGGTTTCTGACGGTCACTCGCTAATCCCGACGGTTCTCACGTTTTCCGACAGTTTCTGACGGTTCCCTCCGATCAATGGCCGGCGGTCATCATGACGACGGCTCGACCTACAGCCCTCGCATCGCCTTCATGTAAGCCTCTAGGTCGGACGGAGATCGCCTTACCTAATCATACTGGCGACTTTTGGAAAATACTGGTGATTTTAAAGTCGACTCATTTTAGGAGAGCATATTGGAATCACTTCCAAGAGCTCTGAATGGCGATCCCCGGTAAGCTTCGAGCCTGGATGAGGGGGGCCTTGTTATGAGTTTGGGGGAAAACTGCTTCCGATAGACTGGGTTGTCTGCGTCTTTCCCCCATTTCCGTCGCGGATCCGTGTTTGCTTCCCCATTCCCTTTTCCTTTTCCTCCCCCTTTCCCCCTCTTCCTGCTGCTCTATTCCCGCGCGCACCTGTTGCGCGTCAGTTTAGCGTCTCCGTTGCCCACTACTCCCCATCACATTGGATTAGAATCCAAGGCCCATTCAAATTCCCGCCGTCCAGTGCGTGGGTCTCTTGTCGTGACACTCCTCCGAGTATTCCCTTCTCATTTGGCTGACCCCTTCCCTTGACCCCCTCCCGTGTCATTTCCGAGAAAATCAATCTGTACTCGCTCCTCCCTGAGTCTACCCTTCCCTACCCTCCCTCCCGTGTCATTTCCGCCATGCCGTGTTTTAATCCCTTCCTCCCTCCCGTCGCTGCCTGCGTGCCTGCCGGCCTGCCCCTCCGCGCTGCCAGCTACGTCTTTAACCTTATCGTGGGTACGGGGGCTCTCGCCCTCCCGTCCGTCCTCACAACAGGAGGATGGGTGCGTACTCCCTCTCTACCCTTACCCTTCCCTTTTTCTCGTTTGAGACCGATTAGGTATTGTCAGGAGCCGTTTTTCTATTCTTCTACTTCGTCAGCCTCTTCCTTTGCTATTTAACAGGAGGCTGGTTGTATGCTTTCTTGGTTTGGGTTTCCCATTCCCGTTTTTGTACGAGTCGACCGAGAAGTCGATTCATTTTCAGGGTTTTCCCTCCCATTCCTCACATCAACCACATGATCGCCTTTCCTTTCCCCTCTTAATCTGACTACTCGACTCAAAAGTCCTTTCCAATTCCACTCCACTCCTGTAACCCCCTTTCCTCTTCCCTCATTCCCTCCTTTTCTCCCTCCCTCCCCCTCTCTTTGCCCTCCCCCCTTCCCCCTTCCGCATCCGCGCTCCCCCCAGGTTCTCGGAACTCTCTTCCTTCTCCTCGTTGCATTCACCAGGTACGAATCTCCTGTTGCCTTCATACCCCACATGCCTCTTTTCAGTAACCATCTTCCCTTCCCCCCTCCCTCCCCCTTCTTTCCTCTCTCCTTCCCCCTTACTCCCCCCCACCCCACCCCGTTCCCACTCCTTCCTCCCTTCCCCCCCCCCTTCCCCGTCCCGCCCTCCTACCCTTTCTTTCCGTTTTGCTATTCTTCTTTGTTGCTCTCCTTTTTGCCTCGTTTTAAACCCCGTTCCGCCTTGCCATTCTTGCATGCACCGAACCATGTTCCCGCCCACCACACCTCCCCACCCGCCCTCCCCCCTGCTCATCCGTGCCCTCTTCGCCGCCTCTGCCGCGTACCCCTCCCCAATTCCACCCCCCTGGCCCTCACCCTTCGTTTCCCCCCCCTTCCCCGCGTGCCAGTTTCGTTGGAGTGACGTTTATGATTGAGAGCATGGCTGCGGCAAATGCTCTCAGCACCATACGGCATGCACAGGTGGGTGGTGGGTCGGTCGTGTGCGTTTGAGTCGAGTATAGTAAAAACGCTTATGTCTGCCGTAATGCTCTCTGTGCCTGTAATTCTTCTCACTTCTCTTGAAGTCGCCCTAATAGGTTTCGAGACGTCTCAAACTGGATTTTTTTTTACTTTCGAGACGCCTTGAAACGCTTCTGTCGTAACGGTGTCTGTGCCTGTTGCGTTCCCCGTGTTCCCCCCGCTCCCTCCCTCCCTCCATGCTGCCATGCCACCCTGCCCCCTTGCCTCACTGCTGCCATGCTACCATGCTGCCATGCTACCATGCTGCCATGCTACCATGCTGCCATGCTACCATGCTGCCATGCTGCCATGCTACCATGCTGCCATGCTGCCATGCTACCATGCTGCCGTGCTGCCATGCTGCCATGCTGCCATGCTGCCATGCTGCCATGCTGCCATGCTGCCATGCTGCCGTGCTGCCATGCTGCCGTGCTTCCATGCTGCCATGCTGCCATGCTGCCATGCTGCCATGCTGCCATGCTGCCATGCTGCCATGCTGCCATGCTGCCATGCTGCCGTGTTGCCATGCTGCCATGCTGCCATGCTGCCATGCTGCCATGCTGCCATGCTGCCATGCTGCCATGCTGCCATGCTGCCATGCTGCCATGCTACCATGCTGCCATGCTGCCATGCTGCCGTGCTGCCGTGCTGCCGTGCTGCCGTGCTGCCGTGCTGCCATGCTGCCATGCTGCCATGCTGCCATGCTGCCATGCTGCCATGCTGCCATGCTGCCGTGCTGCCGTGCTGCCATGCTGCCATGCTGCCATGCTGCCATGCTGCCATGCTGCCATGCTGCCATGCTGCCATGCTGCCATGCTGCCATGCTGCCGTGCTGCCGTGCTGCCGTGCTGCCGTGCTGCCGTGCTGCCATGCTGCCATGCTGCCATGCTGCCATGCTGCCATGCTGCCATGCTACCATGCTGCCATGCTGCCATGCTGCCATGCTACCATGCTGCCATGCTGCCATGCTGCCATGCTGCCATGCTGCCATGCTGCCATGCTGCCATGCTGCCATGCTGCCATGCTACCATGCTGCCATGCTGCCATGCTGCCATGCTGCCGTGCTGCCATGCTGCCATGCTGCCATGCTACTATGCTGCCATGCTCCCATGCTGCCATGCTGCCATGCTGCCATGCTGCCATGCTGCCATGCTGCCATGCTGCCGTGCTGCCATGCTGCCGTGCTGCCGTGCTGCCGTGCTGCCATGCTGCCATGCTGCCATGCTGCCATGCTGCCATGCTGCCATGCTACCATGCTGCCATGCTACCATGCTGCCATGCTACCATGCTACCATGCTGCCATGCTGCCATGCTGCCATGCTGCCATGCTGCCATGCTGCCATGCTGCCATGCTACCATGCCGCCATGCTGCCATGCTACCATGCTGCCATGCTGCCATGCTACCATGCTGCTGCCGTGCTGCCATGCTGCCGTGCTGCCGTGCTGCCGTGCTGCCATGCTGCCATGCTGCCATGCTGCCATGCTGCCATGCTGCCATGCTGCCATGCTGCCATGCTGCCGTGCTGCCGTGCTGCCGTGCTGCCATGCTGCCATGCTACCGTGCTGCCGTGCTGCCATGCTGCCATGCTGCCATGCTGCCATGCTGCCATGCTGCCATGCTGCCATGCTGCCATGCTGCCATGCTGCCATGCTGCCGTGCTGCCATGCTGCCATGCTGCCATGCTGCCATGCTGCCATGCTGCCATGCTGCCATGCTACCATGCTGCCATGCTACCATGCTGCCATGCTACCATGCTACCATGCTGCCATGCTGCCATGCTGCCATGCTGCCATGCTGCCATGCTGCCATGCTGCCATGCTACCATGCTGCCATGCTGCCATGCTACCATGCTGCCATGCTGCCATGCTGCCATGCTGCCATGCTGCCATGCTACCATGCTGCCGTGCTGCCATGCTGCCATGCTGCCATGCTGCCATGCTACTATGCTGCCATGCTCCCATGCTGCCATGCTGCCATGCTGCCATGCTGCCACGTGTGCAGGACGGGCACTACGTGTCAGACACAGAGCCGTTGATCAGCGATGGAGAGACGGCTGTGATTCTGAATGGCGGATCCGAAAGCGATGGGGGCAATGCACGTGCAGGAGGAGCGGGAGGAGGGGGAGGGGGAGGGCCAGGGGGAAGCGGAGGGGGCGGAGGAGGGGGCAGCAGCAGCAACGGGGGAGGGCCGTTTGAGATTGTGCAACGAATGGAAATGGCGCAGATGGCGGTGAGCAATTGGTGGAATGGCAGTGAGCGATTGGTGGAATGGCGGTGAGCGATTGGGTGGAATGGACGCAGAGTGGAATGGACGCTGTGAATGGGCGACGCATCGCTCCTCTTGTATCCTTGCCCTTTCTCCTTTGCCCGTCGCTCCCCGTTGCTTCTGTGCCCTTGCCTTGCCATTTCCCGATTCTCCATCTCTCCCCCCCACCCACCATACACACCCACTCGTCCTCTGCCTCCTCGCCCATGCCTTTTGAGGCACCTCAAGCACAGTACCCTCCCATTCCAACTCCTCCTTATCTTCACTTCATCCCTCCCAAGGTTCAAAATTACGGTTTTCGTAAAATACGGTCCGTTTTTTACGGTCGTTTTTTACGGTGATTTTTCAAAAAAACGGCCGTTTTTTTGTTAGAGATCTCTGTTCACCAAGAAAAAAAAAGAAAAAAACAAGGTCAAAAACAATTTCGATCATGCCAACAAGCGCATACATGCAAGAAGAAGTCCATCCCCTTCATGCTGCTGCATTTCGGGTTCAATTTGGTCCCAATAAGTGGCCGTTTTGTTAGTTATAGAGGAAACACATCCTGGAACCGTTTTAAACCGTTTTTTACGACCGTTTTTTACGGTACCGTTTTTTACGGTACCGTTTTTTACGGTGAAATTTCAATAAAACGGTCGTTTTTTTTAACCCTGATCCCTCCCTGCTAACTCCTCCCTTTCCATTCCTTTCGCCCACCCTCTCTCTTCCCCACTTTCCTGCCCGTCCCTACCTACCTCTCCTGCCCCTTCCCGGCCCTCTCTACCCATCCCTGCCCATCTCTACCCCTCTATGCCCATCTCTCTACCCCTCCATGCTCCTCCGTACCACGCTCCGTCTGTATCTCTCCCTGCCCTTCCCTGCCCCTTGCAGGACATGTTTTTCAGTGACTGGGGGCGCATCTTTTTCTACATCGCCCTCATTGTGAGTCTGTCGCTCTCGCCTCCTTTTTCCCTCTGTTAGACACACATGAGACGAGCTTTGAGGCGCCACAGGACATGTTTTTCAGTGACTGGGGCCGCATATTCTTCTACATCGCCCTCATTGTGAGTCAGTCGCTCCTCCTTTCCTTTCCCCCTCTGTTTCATATCCCCTAGTCCCCCTCGGCTGCATTGAACTAACCCACCCTTGTTTCGTCACCGCTACTCATTCAGCCCTTCATCACTCTATCTCCCACGTACTCCCTCCCTCTTTACCTTCCCTTGGCTCCCCCACACCAGCTGTACCTGTTTGGAGATCCTTTGGCCATCTACTGCACCTTTAGAGTCTACTCAGAATCCTCCTCCCTGCCACTCTCTCCCTCTATCTCTCCCCCGTTCTCTCCCCACACCAGCTGTACCTGTTTGGAGACGCGGCCATCTACTGCACGTTTGTGCCGCGCTCCCTCGTGGCCTTCTTCTTTCCAGACAACCCCCCGCCCTGGGCTTTTGACGCCTTCCTCGTGCTCTTTGTCGCCGTCATTGTCCCCTTCTGGTACGCTGCTGCTGTTTTTATGAGGCACTCAGACTTCCCCCCACCCAACCCCTTCCTCTCCCCCGCCCTGGGCCTTTGACGCCTTCCTCGTGCTCTTTGTCGCTGTCGTCGTCCCCTTTTGGTGCGTGCTGCTGCTGCTTTTCGTGATGCGACCCTATCCCCCCCCCCCCCCCCCCCCCGCCCTCCCCCCCATTCCCTTCCCCCTGGCCCTTTGACGCCTTCCTTGTGCTCTTTGTCGCTGTCATCGTCCCCTTCTCGTGCGCCGCTGCTTTTTGTTTTCTTTCTTTCTTAGGCGCCACAGAAACCCCCCTCCCTCCCCCCCCCCACCAGCCCCCTCCCTGTTGGGCCTTTGACGCCTCCCTCACGCTCTTTGTCTCTGTCATTGTCTGAATCTTGTGCGCTGCTGCTGTTCACCCGCCAACCTGCCTTCCCGCCTCCCTCCCTCCCTCCCCCCCCTCCCCTCCCTCCCTCCCTCCCTCCCTCCCTCCCTCCCTCCCTCCCCCCCCCTCCCCTCCCTCCCTCCCTCCCTCCCTCACTCCCTCCCTCCCTCCCTCCCTCCCTCCCTCCCTCCCTCCCTCCCTCCCTCCCTCCCTCCCTCCCTCCCTCCCTCCCTCCCTCCCTCCCTCCCTCCCTCCCCTCCCTCCCTCCCTCCCTCCCTCCCTCCCTCCCCTCCCTCCCTCCCTCCCTCCCTCCCTCCCTCCCTCCCTCCCTCCCTCCCTCCCTCCCTCCCTCCCTCCCTCCCTCCCTCCCTCCCTCCCTCCCTCCCTCCCTCCCTCCCTCCCTCCCTCCCTCCCTCACGCACTCACTCCCTCCCACCCTCCTGTCATCCTGCCCTTCCGTACTCCAATGGCTGCCCTTGTAGTTTGCATTCTCGCTTTCTTTTGCTCTCACCTCTCCTTTTCCCTCCCCTGGTTGTCCTCAACCCCCCATTTCCCACTGTTGCTTAAAACCCCCTTTCCCCCCTTTGCTCCCACCCCCCTTGTCCTCGTTGCTCCACCCTCTTTTCCCCCCTTGCTCCCACCCCTTTTTTTCCCCACTTGCTCTAACGCCTCCTCCCCCCACCCCCTTTTGCTCTCACTCACCTTCCTCCCCCCTCCGATGTCTCTCGCTTCCCAAACCCAACCCCTTCTGCTCTCACCCGCCTTACTTCTTTCAATCTCCTCTGCTCTCTGCCCCTTCTTCCACCCCCCTTTCCCCCCACCCCTGTCCCCGCAGCTTCTTTGACTTCCAAAAGACCAAGCCCCTACAAATAGTCACCATGGTAAGATGCTATGTTATGCGATGCCAAGCGATGTGGTGTGGTGGGGTGGGGTGGGGTGTGGTTGGCGGTGGGATGTGATGCGTTACACTATGTCACATGGAATTCAAGGGACTTGGAGGGCGAGAGAGGGAGCACAGGGGGAGTGGGTACAGGAGGGAATCTAATGACAACTAGTTTAGGAAAATTCATTTCTATTTAGTTCCCAACATTCGTTTATCCATTCTTGTCACCTCCACCCCTCTCCACTCCACCCCACTCCACTCCACACTACTCCACTTCAAACTCTCCTGATTGTCACTTTTTCCTCCCTCTGTGTCCTCCTCGTTACCTGCTGCACCCATCCCCACCTATTCTCACCCATTTGTATGCCCATTACCGCACAACCAGGTCATTCGAAACGCTGCCATTACAACGTAAGCAGTGACACTCTCTTTCCTGCTCTTAACTAAGTGGCAACTGAAACCCCTCCCCACACAACCTCCTTCTTGCGTTCTTAGTTGCTCCTCTCCCCTTCATCCCCCTCTCTCGGCCCTCTCTACCCCTTTCCGCTTCCCTCCAACGCTCTCTCTTACCTCTTCATCCCCCATGCCGCACTCCCCTCACGCCCTGTGCTCGCCACCCCTTGCCTCGCACCTTTGCCCCATGCCTCACCCCATACCATGATACCACACTTACCTGTTGCCCTGTGCCCGCATCTTTTTCCCATGCAGCATCCTTGTGATCACTCTGCATGCATGCATGGGTGGCATGTTCCTGTTCATGCGCCCCGAAACTCCCACACTTACCCGTTGCCCTGTGCCTGCATCTTTTCCCCATGCAGCATGATTGTAATCGCTGCATGGGTGGCATACTCCGAAGGGCCTCGCACCACAGGAGTGCCCAATTTCAGAGTCACGTAAGCACCCTTGCTGCCTTGCTGCTATCTTTCCTTCCTGATCCCGTCTCAAGTTTCCAGTTTCTGTAAGCTGTGGTCTGGTTTTGTAAGTTTCCCTGGCTGGTCCATTCAACTCTAATGTCCCTCGAGGTGCCCCTCCTAAACTCGTCCTTCCTGTCCCAAGCACCCGCCCTGCCTGCCTCCTAGCGCTTGCTTCTCCTCTCTGTTGACCACTCAGTCTATTGCTGACTTTCCGTTGCTACTCCTACTCCATCTGCTCCCCCGTCTCCTCCCTCCTCCTTCCCTCCCCGCCCCTGTCTCTCCCTCCTACCCTTCCTTTTTACCTGCTGCCATCTCGGCCTTGGCGAACCTTTTTTGTCTGCCGAACCTCTTTCTGCCCGCCCGCCCTCCCCTGTTCGTCTGCAGTGCCCTGCCGAACCTCTTTGGTGGCGCCGTTTATGCATTCATGTGCCACCACAGGTGAGTGGCACCACAGGTGAGTGGCACCACAGGTGAGTGGCACCACAGGTGAGTGGCACCACAGGTGAGTGGCATCACAGGTGAGTGGCATCACAGGTGAGTGGCATCACAGGTCAACTAAAAAGTAATCTCTTACAGTTTTAAATGTGTAACCGTCAACTTTTGTCCCACAAAAGAATTCCACGCCCAATGTCCGCTCTCATCTCCCCACCCCTCTCCCCCCAGTCTCCTCGGCATCATCATGCCCATGAGGGAGAAGTCCTTCATTTGTGTGATGCTCGTCTCTCCCCCTCTCCTCCCCACCTTCCCCTCCACTCTCCCCAACGTGCTCCCTTTCCCCCAACACTTCCTCTCCCCCTCTGCACTTCCCTCCCCCCCTATGTACCCCCGCCCATTCCCCCCCCTATCCCCTTTCCAGTCTCCCCGGCATCATCACGCCCATGAGGGAGAAGTCCTTCATCCGTGTGGTGCTCTTCTCTGCCTTCCTGGGCGTCTTCGTGCTCTACCTGCTGCTCTTCCTCTCCTGCGGCATCGCCTTTGGTGCGTGGGAAGGGGCTTGGAAGCATGTGAGGGGGTGGATGGAGGCATGTGGGGGGGTGGATGGAGGCATGTGGGCGGTTGGTAGCGTGCAGGCACATGCGAGTATGCCCTTCCTGGGCGCCTTCCTGCTCTACCTGCTGCTCTTCCTCTCCTGCGGCATCGCCTTTGGTGAGAGAGAAAGACGTCTCAAAACTCGGTGTGAGTCAGTCAGGTGTGCCACGAACAAACCATGGATGAGCATGTGTGCTTGTGCGATTGTGACTTTTGAGTCGACTCAAAAGTCACCTCCAAACCATGGATGAGCATGTGTGCGTGTGCGATTGCGCAAGTATGCCACTGTTTTTTGAGTTGACTCAAAAGTCGACTCAAAACATGAGCATGTGTGCGTGTGCGATTGCGCAAGTGTGCCACCTTTTGAGCATGCGCGTCCATCTACCCATTGCAACTCTCTGTACTTCTCCTCTGCCTGTGTGTGTGGTTGTTGGTGCTTGTTGCTCCTGTCGTGTGTGTGCGTGTGCGTGTGCGTGCGGTGTGCTGCATGATGCCCCGTGTGTATGTGTGTATGTGTGTGACTGACTGGCATGTGTGTGCTGCACTGCAGGTGTGGGAGCAGAGGACCCTATCACCTTCAACTTCTCACCAGCCAAGTTCGGCTGGGTCGGCGACCTGCTCTTTCTCTTCCCCGGTCCGTACCTCTTTCTTTCCCAAGTCTGTCTATGCATCTTACAAAGTCCGTTCCGCTTCGTAGGTCCATGCTTGCTGCATACATGCATGCATGCACGGGGATGTGATGACATGCATTGTGGGGAAACCTGCTAATTTTTTTCATTCCACATATTTCCCCCGTATGCCCCCCATCTCTCCCCCATGCCCCTCCCCTCCAGTGGTAACCCTGTCCTCCAACTACCCCATGCTCACCATCACTCTGCGCAACAACCTAGACACGCTCCTCACACTGCTCTTCCCCAAGGGCTCACGTGCCTTGCGGAACCTGCAAATCTCTTCCCACGTACATTCGCTAAGATTCCTCCTGTCCCCTCTTCCCCCCCTCCCCCAACTGCTCATTCCCTAAGATTCCTCATTCCCTTGCCGCCCCCCCCCATTCTCCCCCCTGTGCTTCCCCCAATCGCCCCCCCAGTGGTGACCCTATCCTCCAACTACCCCATGCTCACCATCACTCTGCGCAACAACCTCGACACGCTCCTCACGCTCCTCTTCCCCAAGGGCTCCTCACTCTTCCCCGCCGCCCCTGCCTTCTCCCCCCGCCTTCCCCCGCGCCCCTCCCGCTTCTCTGACTCCCCTGGGGGGGGCGGGGGGGGAGCGGAGAGGGGGGTGCGGGTATCGGCAAAGGAGAAGAAGGGCGTTGCGTGGAGGAGGGTGATGGTGACGCTGCTGGCAACGGTGCCCCCCATTGCATGCTGTGTGATTGCAGAGGTATGTGTAGGGGGGGGGAAGGGGAGGGGAGAGGGGGGTGCGGGTATCGGGGAAGGATAAGAAGGGGGTGGCGGGGAGGAGGGTGATGGTGACACTGCTGGCGACGGTGCCCCCCATTGCATGCTGTGTGATCGCAGAGGTACGGGGTCGTGCTGGAGGGTTGCAGTGGGGTCTGGGGGGGGAGTATTGGTTGGGGTCATGGCAGGGGGAGGGAGGATGGGATGGGATGCTGATGACGCGATGTGGGTGGGGAGTTGGATGGTGGTGGTTGTGTGGAGGGGAGGGATGGTGACTCTGCTAGCGACGGTGCCTCCCATTGCATGCTGTGTGATTGCAGAGGTATGAGGGGGGCCGTGATGGGGTTTTTGGTGGTCTGGGATGTTGCCGCTGCACTCTTTCTCGCCTTCCGTCCATCCGTTGCCCTCCTCGCCCCTCTCCTCCTCTTTCCTCGTCTCGCCTCTCCCTCCCTCATGCGCGAACATGTCACTCATTCGCTATCTCTCCTCTGTTCTTTTGCTTCCTACCTTTCTCGCCTCCCTGCCACGTCATTCCCACATAAACACAGATGCGCATGCACAGATCACTTAACACATCTGCCATCTTGATCCCCTCCCTCTCTCCCTTCCCCATTCCCCGTCCAAATTTTTCCCCTCCCCCAATGTTCCCTTTCCCTCTCTTCCCCCACCCTCTTCCCCCCATTTCCCCCCCTCTTTTCCATTCTGGCAGCACAATGGGGTAAACGTGAACTCGCTGGTTGGAGCAACAGGAGCATATGCAGGAGCAGCAGTCATGTTCATCATTCCTGCATGCCTTGTGTACCGATCGCGATGGTCAGTAAATCTTGTGTGGGTGGGTCACTTGTGCATCAAGATTCAAGACAGAAACGACATTGCTGCATGTATTAACCCTCGTAGCTTGCCGTATGGAGTGTACTTACTGTGTGTCAGGTGTCTAATGCGTGACCTGTGTGACATGGTGTGTTCTTCTCGTGTCAGTTCTCGCTTCGGTTGTGATTGGGTTGGATGGTCGAACTGACGGTGCAGTTTGGGTGACACGTTGAAACAGCCTGTTACATTCCATACACGTTAAGGACATCCCCCCTCCCACCATTCCCACTTTCCCTCTTTCCCCCCCCCCTCCCTCCCCTCTGCGACCCTCCCCTTGTTTTCACCTGTACCACCTTTCCTTTTATCACAGGATTCTAAATCAGGAACTGCCGCAGGATTTGGACGACTCTGCTCGTCGCAACGAGCCACACTCACTCAATCAGCATGCATCACCTTTCCGCAGCCCGTTATGGGTCTCTTCGCTGGTGGTGCTGGCTATTCTCGTCATTGCATTCATTTCTATTGATGAGATCTTGTACTGAACTGTGTGCTGGCCAAGCTGTTTGGCAGCTGAAGCTATTGGCTACCTTGCACTCTGGTTATCTGTCGAATTTCTTAATTCAGTTATTTGCATCTTGTTGGTGAGCCAGAGTCACTGAGGCGCAATGTAAAGCCTGTTCAGCTTCCTCAATGCTACCAGCCTTTTTCTCTGCTTCATGCATTGTTTGAAAGAAAGTGTTCTGAGTAGACTGTATGTATCATGCGGATAATGCCTGCTCCCGTATTCCGAACTCTGGAGCTGCTGATTTTTCTTACGATGTGCTTGGGAAGTCCAAAATTTTCACCGCTTTCGGCATCCGAAAGATTTTATTAGCCTCCTAAGTGGGGCAACGAGAAGATGGGCCAGGCAATTGAGCCATGAGTGGGGTATTCGCGTCCTTTTATACTGCCCGTTTTGCTGACCGGCAGCAATTACAGCACTGTAACTTCAATTCTGGGTGCAGTTGTACAGTGCAAATGTTCTCCTGGAGAAGCCGGTAGCGCATGACATTATCCAGTCTTGCGGCTTTTCCTCCCACCATTCTCTATTTAACGCCTTGCCACGTAAGGCCACGTCAGCTCTACTGGCTTTGCCACGCATACCCACCCTTGCCACGGCGGAGATCCTCGGGAGCGCAACTCCCCACCTGCGCCTTCATTCTCCATGACCGCACGGTTGCGGTCCCTGCATGTGCAGTTTGCCTCGTGTTGCGCGCAGTCAGTGCACTTTGCGCCAGGCCTGACAAGGTCTTGGGCAATGTGCGCGCGCGAAGTTGAAAGTGATTCTCGTCAGGCACTGTCGGAAACAAAAATCTTGGACGAGCCAGAACCACGAGATTGAGTCCAAAAATCTTGGTAGAGTACACTTTTCCATGCGTCATTTCAATGTTCGAGTCCTTGGATAGAACTAAGACTCCTCTCTTCTCGAGAAATTCTCGCAACCTATTCTTACAAATATTCCCACCCGTCATGAGGGATTCTTATTTCAATCTGCTGCAATTCCAATCACCATCTCCTCGGTCAGTTCTTTCTGCTGGTCAACCTGCCCGCCTCTTATCTGTTTTGACCTCCTGATCTCGAATCTCTCCACCATTCTCCTTTCCGCAGCTGTCTACTGTGTACGTATTCTGCCCTCACCTGCTTCACTAACTTCCTCCTCACTTCGCACTTCCATTCCATCCACCACCCACGCCTTCCCGTCCCCCAGCACGTCTCCCCCCCATTCACATCCTCATTGGCCCCTACCCTTCGCTCACGCCGTCCTTCACTCCCTCGGCCTTTCCCCCCCACCCACCCTCCTCAGCCAACCAATCCTCCTCCGCCCCTTGCCCTACCTCACACCACCTGAAATTTCTCGCCTCACCTCGTCCCATCCCACCTCGTCACCGCATTGCAGTCCAGTCCAGGGTCTTTTTCTCAGCGCGTGTGGCGTGGTGTGCCGTGGCGGTTTAGGGCGTTGAATGCGGCAATTAACTACAACACTTGCAATAGCTCTGCCTATTATACCTCCGCTAGTCACGGAGGATTTCAACCGCCGCAGTCAGCTAGCGTGCATGCTTCTGGCTTTCGCGCTGGTCGTGCTTGTCAGCACTGCGAGTGCCCAGGTTATAAAAACCCTTTCCTTCAGGCATCCTTCCCGCCTGGTACCGCATTTCCTCACTGAATACGCCTATCTCCTGCTGTTCCTCCTCATTTCGGCTAGAAGCCTAAGTAATTCCGCGGTTCGTAGCTATCATCTATCTTCACTCTCTTCAGCCCGCAATAGCACCGTCGAGTCGCTGCGATTTTGAGGGAAGAAAAAAAATAAAAACAAAAAATCCGCCTGTCATTTACGCGTGAATTCCTTTCCCTCCTGCCGTCACACTCCTACTCCTCCTCATCAACATTCTTTCTCCCCCTCGCCTCCTCTCCGCCACTTCATCCGCCGCACCGCCCTGTCCGCGCATTACACGTTCCGCCTCGCCTTTCCCTCATCACCCTTCGCGTTGTCGCTTCGCGTCAAAGCCCGCATTAGGAGCCGAGCCGATATCTCACCATGCAGCAGGTCTCTCCCGTGCTTCACGGCGTGTGGCCCGGCGCGCAAATGCCGGTCGGCCCACAGCTGCAGCAGCAGCAGCAGCAGCAGCCGTCGCTTTCTCTGCTGCAACAGAGCGTTCCGGCCGCGCCGCCTACCGCCGGCGGCGCCGGTTCCGGCGCCAGCACCGCCGGCGGCGGCGGGGGCGGGGGGCAAGAGGAGGTTAAGACGCTGTGGGTGGGCGATTTGCAGTATTGGATGGACGAGAATTACCTCTGGAACTGCTTCGCGCACACGGGCGAGGTGAGCGCGCACGGGCGAGGTGAGCGCGCACGGGCGGTTGGGTGCGCACGGGCGGGGTGAACCGAGGGGGGAGGCGAGGGGAGCGCATAAGAGGGAAGAGCGCGCGTGCGGGCGAGTTGAGTTGAATGGCGGGTGGAGGGGCAACGAGAAGCGGTAATTACGAGGGATTGGTATTGGGATAGAGGGGGAAGCGGGGTTGTGGCGGAAGGGAAGGGGGGAGGGGGTGGGGTGGGAAAGTAGGGGGGAGTGAAGGGGAGAGAATGGGCCGCGGGGAGAGAAATGAGGCGGGATGCGACGGCTGATTAAATGCAGCGGAGGGAGGAACGGACCTTTCTTTTCTGAGGTGCCGCGTCAGCATTGGGAGGGCTGCGCGGGGAGAGTTGCGCGGGATAGCTGCGCGCCTGTGAACTGATAGCGCATGCGCGACGGCTCATGCGGCGCGGTTGCTTCTGACGTTTTATCAGGCGCGCGCACTGCACGCCGCGTTATCAGGCGCGCGCGATTTCTTACTCGTATATTTGGCGTTCTTCTTTCCTTCTTTCGCTTACTTTCGTCTCTTCGGGCGCGCGTTGTACCCCGCTTCCTTATGCGGCGATGCGCATTCCGCGATTGCACTGCACGCGCCCTCCGAGCCCGTCTCTCTAGTCTGCCGCGAGTGCCGGAGTCTAACGTCGGTCCGTCTCTCCGTCTGTATCTTTCATGCCTCTCCCGCTTCCCTCCCCCACCCGCAGGTCCAGTCAGTGAAGATAATCCGCAACAAGGCGACGGGGTACAGCGAGGGGTACGGGTTATCATAGCATGGTGTGGCGGGGAGCGTTTTGGGCATGTATGCCGGCACCGCCTCCTCTTCCATACCCCCACCGCCTCCCCCTCCGCCCCACCTCCCCCTCCCCTCCCCCTCCCCCTCCTGCTCTCCTTCCTTCCCGATACACCTCCCTCTCCCCCGTCCTTCCGCCTCTCGCTCTCCGGTCCCCCCTCCCCCTTCCCCCCCCAGGTGCAATCAGTGAAGATAATCCGCAACAAGGCGACGGGTTACAGCGAGGGGTACGGGTTCGTGGAGCTGTCGTCGCATGGGGTGGCGGGGAGCGTGCTGGGCATGTATGCGGGCACCGCCATGCCCCAGACCGACCAGCAGCCCTTCCGACTCAACTGGGCCAGCTTTGGCATGAACGACCGCCGGTGAGCGGGAGAGGGGGAGAGGGTTGGGTGGGGGGGAGAGCGATGGTGCGAGGGAGAGGGAGGGAAGGAGAGAGCGGAATTGGGGTAGTTGCGGAGAGTGGGGAGGGGAGATTGGGTTGAAGGGGGTGGGGGATAGGGAGGAAGGGGGAAAATGGGGAAGGAAGTGGGAGGGGGGAGGGGTGAATGGGCATGTATGCCGGGTGGGGTGGCGGGGAGCGTGCTGGGCATGTATGCGGGCACCGCCATGCCTCAGACCGACCAGCAGCCCTTCCGACTCAGCTGGGCCAGCTTTGCCATGAACGACCGCCGGTAATTGAAGGGGGGGTTGGGGGGGTGGGGGCTGCGGGAGAGGGGGCGGGGGAGGGAAGGAAGGGGAGAGCGGGAGGGGAGATGCGTAGTAAGAGGGGTGGACTGAGTGGAGGGAGATGGGGAGGAAGGGGGGAAGGGGGAAGGGGGAGTTGAGGAGAATGGGAGGGCAGATGTGCATGGATGAATGGCGGGGAGAAGGGGATGGAGGAGGGCGGTGAGGGGGGTTATCTGGCAGTGAGGGGGGTTATCTGGCAGTGAGGGGGGTTATCTGGCGGTGCGCTTCCCTCCTCCCTTTCTCTGACTGTCCCCTCCCCTCTCCACTCCCCTCCTTTCCCCCTCCTGCCAGGCAATCCGACGGGCCGAAGCACAGTGAGTTCGTGGGCACACGTGGTAACCTGCACACTCCTACCCTCTCCCCTCTACCCTACACCTCGCCCCTCCCCTTTAACCTCTCCCCTCTTCCCTCCCCTCTACCCTCTCCCCTCTTCCCTTCCCTCCCCTCTACCCCTCTGCTCTCCCCTTCCCCTCAGGCAATCGGACGGGCCGGAGCACAGTGTGTTTGTGGGCGACCTAGCAGCGGACGTCACGGACCTGCTGCTCACTGAGACCTTCCGCGCGCGATACCCCTCCGTGCGCGGTGCCAAGGTGAGCAGAGAGTGCCAAGCAGGGGTGGGACCGTGGGCAGAGCGACCCCCCAGGTGTGCTGAGGTGCCAAGTGGTGCCAAGGGGTGCCAAGGGTTCTAGATAGCAGCGGACGTCACGGACCTGCTGCTCACTGAGACCTTCCGCGCGCGATACCCCTCCGTGCGCGGCGCCAAGGTGAGCAGAGGCTTGCGGTGGTGCCAAGGTGAGCAGAGCAGAGGCTTGCGGTGGTGGAAACCTGTGCCTGCCACTAGGGTTTCATCTTTTCCTTCCTTCCTGGTGCGGCCGCCAAAAAGGAAGGGCTGAAACGCGCGCAGTAGAATAACACCTTTCAGTCTTGGTTGTGTTGTGAATCTTAAGCAACGAAAGTCTCTGCAAAGAAGTGGTGGTGGTAACCAGTTTTCAGACGGCAAGAGTGGCGGCCACTTTCACCTTGAGACCGAAACTGGTCATGGTGGGCTGGCTGAGGCGCCTCTGTGAGCTTGTGCCGAAACTTGTTACCTTGGTGAGGTGGGTGGCGAGGTGGGGCTTGCAGTCGAGGTGGGGCTTGCAATGTTGAGTTTACTTTTGAGAAGTCTCATAAGTAAACTCAACATTGGTGGGGCTTGCAGGCGAGGTGCCCACAGCCAAGGTGAGTAGCTTTGGAGTCTGGCTGGCCTGAGGAATAGGGAGACAGGGATTTTTGAGAATTCTCACAAACCAGCTCGTAGAGAGACGGGGATATATCAGGCTTGATTGATGATGCTCAGGCGATGTGCAGAGGCGCCCAGCTGTGCTGTGCTGTGCAGCTCTAGAATTGCAGCCTGCTGCGTTTCTTTAGTGGACTCAAAACACGACAGGCGATGTGCAGAGGCGCCCAGCCCAGGTGTGCTGTGCAGCTCTAGAATTGCAGCCTGTTGCGCCTTAGCCTTCCAACTTCTCCCCTTCTCCTCTTCCCACTTTCTTGTCCCCCTTTTTCCCCCTCTCCCCCTTTCCTCCTCTCTCCCTTTCCCCCTCCCCCTCTCTCCCCCTCCCGCCACGCCCTCCCCACAGATCGTCATGGGTAACACCAGGTGAAACTTGAGTCGACTCAAAAGTCACCTCCCCGCAGGTCGTCATGGATAACACCACAGGGCGCAGCAAGTTTTGAGGCGCCTCAAATCTTTTGGGGCGCCTCAAAAGGTCGTCATTGACAGCACCAAAGGGCGCAGCAAGTTGAGACAAGCTGGTTCCTGAGACGAGTTGAAAACTCTCACTCTGTGTTTCTTTCTACCAACTTCTCTCCCGCCCCTCCTCTCGTTCCTCCCACTCCTCCCCTTTCTTCCTCCGTCTCCTACAGGTCGTCATGGACAACACCACAGGGCGCAGCAAGGGGTACGGTTTTGTGCGGTTCGCAGCGGTGGAGGAGAGGGACCGTGCGCTGGGGGAGATGAGCGGGCAGTACTGCTCCTCGCGCCCCATGCGCATCTCCATCGCTACTCCCAAGAAGGCCGCTGCTTCCTCCTCTTCTGCCTCCTCTGCTGCTGCTGGCTCCTCGCCTGCCACGGCTGGTGAGATGGGGCTTAGGCTGGGGTAGGAGCTGTGGTGGGGTTGGTTGGTACTGCTCCTTGTGCCCCATGCGCATCTCCATCGCTACTCCCAAGAAGGCCGCTGCTTCCTCTTCTGCCTCCTCTGCTGCTGCTGCTGGCTCCTCGCCTGCTACAGCTGGTGAGATGGGGCTTGAGGGAGGGGTAGTGGTGGGGTTGATATGGTTCTGGCTGGGTGTGGTGTGGAATGGCGTTGTGTGTGCGCTGAGCTGGTACTGCTGCTGCTGCTGCTGCTGCTGCTGCGGGTGCATTGCCTGCTGCGGAGGTGGAGGAGGAGAGGAGAGGGACCGCGTACTACTACTAGGTCCTGGCCTGGGGGGTATGTTGTTTGAGAATTCTCAAAAAACATACGCTGAGGGACCGCGTGCTAGGTCCTGGCCTGGGGGAGATGAGCGGGCAGTACTGCTCCTCACGCCCCATGCGCATCTCCATCGCCACTCCCAAGAAGGCCGCTGCTTCCTCTTCTGCCTCCTCTGCTGCTGCTGCTGCTGCTGGCTCCTCGCCTGCTACAGCTGGTGAGATGGGACTTGGGGAAGGAGGAGAAGGGGCTGTGGTGGGTTGCATTGTACTGCTCCGTGTGCCCCATTTGTGTCGCTTCCAATGGCCCCGCTGTTACCAAGTCCCATAGGGTGCCTTGGTACGTAAAAGCACCTGGTGGCACCTCACTGCGGCACTGCAGCACCCCACTGCGGCACCCCACTGCAGCACGTGACCCGTTCTTCTTTTGAAATTCCTCGATTCTCCGTCCACCCCATTCCCCTTTCTGTTTCCTCCGACCCCGTTGCCTGTCCCTGTGAACCGAACCACCAGGGCTGCTCTCGCGAGTGCCAGTGGGAGTGACACCACAGCAGGCACAACTGCCCCACCAGCAGCAACACCACCACCAGCACCATCAGCAACAGCAGCAGCAGCAGCAGCAGCAGCAGCAGGGAGGGGGGCACGGGCACGGGCACGGGGGAGTTGATGACCCTTCTAACACCACTGTAAGGAGTTGGAGAGCAGGTTTGGGACTCTTGTTGTTCAAAAGGGCATGGCTACAGGCACAGGCACGGGCATGGGTACGGGTACGGGCACGGGTACGGGCATGGGTACGGGCATGGGTACGGGCATGGGTACGGGCATGGGTACGGGCATGGGTACGGGCATAGGTACGGGCATGGGTACGGGCATGGGTACGGGCATGGGTACGGGCATGGGTACGGGCATGGGTACGGGCATGGGTACGGGCATGGGTACGGGCATGGGTACGGGCATGGGTACGGGCATGGGTACGGGCATGGGTACGGGCATGGGTACGGGCATGGGTACGGGCATGGGTACGGGCATGGGTACGGGCATGGGGATGACGGCAATGAGAATTCTCATAAACAACCTACAACAAAGAGGGATTTGATTTGACGGCCCTTTTGGGTCGACTCAAAAGTCAACTCGGGGTGACGGCAATGAGAATTCTCATAAACAACCTACAACCAAGAGGGAGTTGATTTGACGGCCCTTGTAGCACCATTGTAAGCATTCGCTCTGGAGACGTTTCTAAAACGGGAGTACGCACACATTCGTGGAGGGGAGGGGTTGTTGTGAGAGGGGGGGGGGGGGGGGGGGGGGGGCATTCCCATCCCATCCCAGTGCGGAAATTCTGCGCGCGCTGGTTGGACTGGTGCGACTTTTGAGAATTCTCAAAAGTCGCACCACGCGCACTCGTCGAGGGGAGGGGTTGTTGTGGGGGGGTGCATTCCCATCCCAGTGCGAAGAATTCTGCGCTCGCTGGTTGGACTGCGAAGAGAAGAAGTGTATGTTTTTTTAGAATTCTCAAAAAACATGCGCTGGTAGGACTGCGAAGAGAAGAACCTGTTGGCAAACGAAGAATTGTGAAATTGTGAAACGAAATCGTACAAAGCTCTGCCACACCAATTTCCTTTCCCCCCCAAGTTCCCAACTCCCGATTCCCAACGTTCCGCCACTCCCGCAACCACAACAGACCTGGCAACCACACAGGCCAGTGATAAACCTTTGCCTGTAGCTCTTGAGTCGACTTTTGAGTCGACTCAAAAGGCAACCACACAGGCAAGCAAGTGATAAACCCTTGCCTGTCTGTAGCTCTACGATTGTGCACCGCCGTTTTAAAAGGCACCTGAAAGCACCTGAAGGCACCTGAAAGCACCTGAAAGCACATGAAAGCACCTGAAAGCACCTGAAAGCACATGAAAGCACCTCCCCTGTAGAGTAGACACATGCTTATTTCTGAAGCCAGTACGGCGACCAAGATAAGTGCCTTGAAGGGGCAGAGAGGGGAGCACCTTCCCTGTATTCTTGTAAAATAGTAGGGGAAGTAGGGGAAGTAGGGGGAGTAGGGGAAGAAAGAGAATCCAGAAGCACAGCTATGCATTCATGTTGGGTGGCTTCTGACACGCCCTCTGCCCCTCCTGACACGCCCTCTGCCCCTCCTGACACGCCCTCTGCCCCTCCTGACACGCCCTCTGCCCCTCCTGACACGCCCTCTGCCCCTCCTGACACGCCCTCTGCCCCTTCTGACACGCCCTCTGCCCCTCCTGACACGCCTTCTGCCCCTCCTGACACGCCCTCTGCCCCTCCTGACACGCCCTCTGCCCCTCTTGACACGCCCTCTGCCCCTCCTGACACGCCTTCTGCCCCTCCCGAGTCGCCGTCAATCCCTTCAAAGCTTGCGGCACGCTCGCTTCTGTGTGCCTTTCTCTTCCCATACCACCCCGTCTCCATCCCATCTGCCTACCCTGCCCACCCTGCCCACCCTGCCCAACCACCCCTGGCCGTTTCTCTCCTACCCCCCACTTTCACGTCCCCTGCCAATGCCCCTCAGGTGATTGTTTTGGGTGGGTTAATGATTGATCACATGTGTGAACTGGGGTTGCATGGACCTGTGATAGTGCTCTTTCACCCAACCACACCTGACCGTGTCTCTCCCATACCCCACTTCCACTTCTCCTGCCAACTCCCCTCCTGCCAACTCCCCTCCTGCCGACTCCCCCCCTGCCGACTCCCCCCCTGCCAACTCCCCTCCTGCCATCTCCCCCCCTGCCAACTCCCCCCCTGCCATCTCCCCCCCTGCCAACTCCCCCACTGCCAACTCCCCCACTGCCAACTCCCCCCCTGCCATCTCCCCCCCTGCCAACTCCCCTCCTGCCAACTCCCCTCCTGCCAACTCCCCTCCTGCCGACTCCCCCCCTGCCGACTCCCCCCCTGCCGACTCCCCCCCTGCCGACTCCCCCCCTGCCAACTCCCCCCCTGCCAACTCCCCCCCTGCCAACTCCCCCCCTGCCAACTCCCCCCCTGCCGACTGTAGGTGTTTGTGGGGGGGTTGGACGCGAGTGTGACTGAGGAGCAGCTGAGGATGAGCGTTCAGTTGACTCTTGATGAAGCTCTTCCAGCCAACCACCCCTGTTCGTTCCTCTTACTCCACTTTCACTTCCCTTCCCTTGCCTGTGCCCCTGCAGGTGTTTGTGGGGGGGTTGGACGCGAGTGTGACGGAGGAGCAGCTGAGGAGCGTGTTTGGAGCCTTTGGGGAGCTGGTATATGTCAAGATACCCTTTGGCAAGGGCTGCGGCTTTGTGCAGTTCCGGCAAAGGTAAAGTGTGGTGGAGTGCGGTGGAGTGCGGTGGAGTGATTTGGGGGCGGGTTTGAGGAGCATCTCAGGGGCGTGTTGGCGCCTTTGGGGAGCTGGTACATGTCAAGATACCCTTCGGCAAGGGCTGTGGCTTTGTGCAGTTCCGGCAAAGGTACTGAGTGCGGTGGAGAGCGGTGGGGAGGTTGTTGGGTGGGTGCATGTGGGTTGCTAAGTGGTGGTGTGGTGTGGAGAGTGGCGATGCTGGGCAGGTTCGAGAGGCTTCTGTAGGGATTTTCAGCAAGGGTGGAGAGTTACGAAGGCACAGAGGTAGAGAGGTGGTGCAGTGCAGTGTGTGTGTGCAGGAAAGCGGTGTTTCCCTCCAGTCAGTTTCCTTGTGTCACTTTTGAGAAGTCTCAGAAGTGGTGCTTCCATTGGTGAAGTCCCAAAACTGCATCGCCCAAGAAGTTCTCTCAAGAGTGACTTCCAGAGGTTCTATTTGTAGTTCCAGATTCTAGAGTTCTAGAGATTCCAGAACCTGGAAGTCACTCTCGAGAATTCTCTAAAGTTCCAGAACCGTCACACCTCCTCCCACTCAACCATCCTCTCTTCTTCTCTCGCCCTTCCCCTCCCTCCTCTCATCTCCGCACCCCCCCTCCCTCCCCTTCCCTCCCCCTATCCGAGCGCATGCAGAGGAGGCCATTCGCAGCGTGCACGGCACGGCACCATGATTGGCCAGCAGGCCAGCAGGCCAGCAGGCCAGCAGGCCTCAGCCATCCTCTCTTCCTCTCCCGCCCGTCCCCTCCCTCCCCCCTCCACCTTGCTGCCCCCCCTCTCGTCTCATGTACCCCGCAGAGCGCACGCAGAGGAGGCCATTCGCAGCGTGCACGGCACCATGATCGGCCAGCAGGCCTCAACCAGCAGGCCTCAACCAGCAGGCCTCTCTACCCACCTCCCTCCCTCTCTCGACCTTCCCTCCCCGTCTTCTCCCCCTCCTCTCCCTCCCCTTATGCACCACGCAGAGCGCATGCAGAGGAGGCCATTCGCAGCGTGCACGGCACCATGATCGGCCAGCAGGCAGTGCGGCTGTCGTGGGGGAGGAACCCCACTGGCAAGGTGAGGGTGCACACGAGCGTGAGGAATCCCCGTGGGGGAGGAGGCCCACTGGCAAGGTGAGGACTTTTGAGGCGTCTCGAAGGCCAGCAGGCAGTGCGGCTGTCTTGGGGGAGGAACCCCACTGGCAAGGTGAGGGGTGCGGTGCAGAGCACTGGGAACGGGAACAGGTGAGCATGTATGTCTCAAAGGCCAGCAGGCAGTGCGGCTGTCCTGGGGGAGGAACCCCACTGGCAAGGTGAGGAGTGCGGAGCGCTGGGGGGAGGTGAGGGAGGGACATGGGGGAGGTGTGAGGGGCGTTTGGCAAAGTGATGGGTACGTGATAGGTGAGTTGAGTTTCTTCAAGTGACTTGTGAGTCGACTCAAAAGTCACCTCGTTTCCTATTCGTTTCGTCCTTGCCTCTTCGTTTCCCCCACCCCCCCCCCGCCTCCCCCTCTACCACCCACCAGCGGCCCCAGCAGCAGTCCTCAGGAGGCCAGCAGCAGAAACAGCAGCAGCAGCAACAGCCTTTTGAGGCACCTCAAAACTCGTTTCCTCCTTGTTCTCTTGTTGGTCCCTCTTCGTTTCCCCCATCCCATCCCCCCCTTCTCTACCACCCACCAGCGGCCCCAGCAGCAGTCCTCAGGAGGCCAGCAGCAGAAACAGCAGCAGCAGTCGCAGCAACAGCAGCTACAGCAGCAGCAGCAGCAGCAACAGCAGCAGCAGCAGCAGCAGATGTGGGGAGCGGCAACAGATCCCAACATAGCAGCCGCGGCAGCATGGGGCCAGCAGCAGCAGCAACAGCAGCAACAGGTGGCAGCTGCTGCTGCTGCTGCTGGGTTCTACCCGGCCCAATACGGCCCACCGCCTGGGGCGTTTGATCCCAATGCTGCAGGGTTCGATTCCCAGGTGCGTCATTTTATTGTGTGTCGTGGTTTGGTCATTGATGCGTGATCACTGCTTGTCATTCTTGGAAGGACTCGTATCAAACATGACAAATGGAGAGCAAGCAGAAGAACGGACTCCCTTTCCCGCCTTCTCTATTTACCTTTAAGAAATCTCGAAAGAAAGGAGCCCCCCTCTCCCGCCTTCTTCTTTTTTAGAATTCTCACAAGTGTCGTCCCCCTTTCTGTTTCTTCCGTTTTCTCACCCAGGCTGCAGCAGCGTATGGACTACCCCAGGACCCAACAGCCGCAGCAGCCGCAGCAGCAGCGTACATGGGTTACGCTGCAGCAGCAGGTTACAACATGTACGGTGCTGCTCCTGCTGCTGCTTACGCACATCCAGGCATGGGAGCCCAGCTCCCTGCTATGTCTGCCATGCCCCACCAGCATGCCCTGGCTCTGCAGCAGCAACTGCAGATGCAGCAGCAGCAGGTGCAGATGCAGCAGCAGCATCTGCTTCTGCAGCAGCAGCAGCAGCAGCAGCAGCAGCAGATGGGGCAGCAGGTTGTGGGGGGGGGTCCGCTAGAAGCGGGGCAGCAGGGGGAGGAGCAAGGGCAGCAGGGGCAGCAGGGAGGACAGCTGGTGGGATTGGGGGGTGAGGTGGTGGGGATGTCGGAGCAAGGCGGGGAGGAGAGGCAACAGGGGGGAGGAGCAGCATTGGAGGTACGCCCTACCTAACTTGTGTAGAGCTCTTCGAAATGAACTAGCTTTTTGTACAATAGATCCATGAGAATCCAGTTTTGAGTCGTCTCAAACCTCAACCTAGAAACCAAGTAGCTTTTGTAGCTCTCTATGGGAACCCTCAAATCAGGTACTCCTTGTTTTGCATTGTTGTTATCGTGCATTGTAGGTGCTCTGATGGAATAGTCAAGTTTCTTGGTGATAGCATGATGGGATGCTGAGGCGATGGGTTGAGGGGGTGATAAAGTTGGGGAAGGAATTTTGAGGCGCCTAAAAGATGCCGAAGTGATGGGTTGAGGGGGTGATGAAGCTAGTGAATGGTCTCGCCCCATCCTCCCTTGCTTTCTCCCCATCCTTCATCACGCCCCATCCTTCCTTGCTCTCTCCCCTTCCTTGCTCTCTCCCCATCCTTGGTCTCTGCCCATCCTCCCTTGCTATCTCCCCATCCTTGTTCTCTCCTTATTCCCCCGTGCATTCTCCCTCACGAGCCTGTTTTGTGTGTAAACGTGTGTGTGCGTGCATGTGCATGTGTGTGGGTGTGGGCGTGTGGGTGTGATTCCATGTGCATGTGCATGTGCATGCGCGTGCATTTTTGCATGTGTGCATGTGTGAGCAGAGTGGCATACAAGCAACGGGATGAGCCGGGCATATCACATACAGAAAGGCTGGTATGTGCTATCTATGCTGCTTCTAAAAGGGAGAATGACTGCTTCCCACACGTCCTAAAGCTCGCTCCATTGCTCTAAGAGGGGCGTAGCATAACCAAGCATCGCTGAACAAATCTGAGCATATCTCGCTACTCCCATCCCCGTAACAGTGTGCCCTTCCATTTTTTAACGAGGTGACTTTTGAGTTCCTTTTCAGTCGACTCAAAAGTCACCTCAGTGTGCCCTTCCATTTTTTGCACGCCTCCAAATTTTAACCATATCGCTACTCCCATCCCATCACAGTGTGTGTGCCCTTACTCCTGTATGCCTCATGGCTGTACGTCACTCCAATCTATCATTCCCACTGCATCTCCACACCACTTATCATCTCAGAATCTCCTCCTGAATCACAGTGTAGCATTCTGGCTCATTACATTTCTCTTCCAACTCTCATGCTGTCCTCACACACGCCATGCTCCCCTGTCAGCTCGCATGATTTGCTGAAGCAAGCTGTGCTCTGCTGTGCTGTGCTGTGCTGTGTTGTGCTCCCCAAACCTTACAGCCCCAGCTCCAATAATGTGCAATTCCTCTCTCCTTCCATTGTGCCCTTTGCCATTCGCACACATGCAGACACAGGACCCACTCAGCACAGGCTCAGTAGCACGTGGCATTGGAGTGCCGCATCGCATTAACTCGTAGATGGGATTGTAGACAGGAAGTGGTGTAGTTAGTTCCCCTTTGACTGTTGGGGTACCTCTACCGTATTAGGCTTGGGAATGGGAAGGGTTAAATGACCCAGCCCAGCCAAGTCAAGCCCAGCACTGGTCCCCCACCCTTGGGCTTATGGACATGAATTGCGAGGGGGGGTATTGATTCACCAAATGGTTACACTCACATCAACATGATTCTACCACGGGGTATGGTGAATCAACATGATTCACCAAATGGTTACCCATACACAATTGAGAGTCGCTCTTTCGATAACATTGTTGCTTGTGTACGCCAAAAAACAATTCGACAAGGCACAACCGAGCCTAAAATATGTAAATGTGTTACGAGTGCAATTGCGCGAGCAAACGAAGATTGCACTATCGAAGCAATACAGTACATTGAGCAAAGGAATGGGCGAATGTTATTTAGCGTGGGGTAACGGTAATGGTAACGCGCAAAATGTGGGGTGCGCGACGGGCCTGGCGCCGAGGTTGGGAATTGTCGAGGCGGAGGACCGGAGCGTGGGTTACCAACTGAGCTGTGAGGTTGGGTGGGTCGCGATGTGAACAGTGGCGGGAACAGTGGTCGAGGCGAGTGTCGCGAGTTGTAACCGTTTACTGTTGGCGGGAACAATCGTGTATGCGGTAAACAAGGGCGAAGTAAGGAAAGGGGAATTTCCCTTACAATATGTAAATCACGCATTCCCCCCGGTGTCAATAAACACTTATACATTTGTCATGTGTACTTTGTAGGCTAGGTTGGGTTGAATGTAGTGGGTATGGAATGTTAGATATACCCGCCTGTGTATGTTTTCATGCCTCTTTCATTCAGGTTTTAGCATGGTATCACGAATAGGTTCCGTTCCTCGCTTCTGCCGCACCTACCTCCCTAACTGCCCCCCTTGGAGACCCCCTCTAGCGGCCCTACCTAGCAGCCACTTCTAGCAGCCCCCTGTCGCAGGCCCCGTCACGACATTGCCGCGGCCCCGCCGTCACCGGCCCGTCGCGGCCTTACCGCCGCGCTTGCCGCCGCGCTTGCCGCCGTGCTTGCCGACCGCACCTGCAACCGAGCCTACCGATGCTGCCCGATGTCACATCTGCAGCTGTTGCACGTCGCCGCGCCTGCAATTGCTGCCCACGGCCGCGCCTTCTGGTGGTCGACACCGTCTCTCTTGCAACCGCGATCCTACTACCGCCCCGCCGCGGCCGTGTCGCTGCGCCGCCTGCTGTGCCGCCCGCTGTCTGCCTACCTGCCTATGACAGTCTCCACTTGTGGTTGTCCCCTCTCATCTGCTACAGCTGCTCGCTCCTGTCATGGCGTCTGAGTTCGTACTGCGGCATGATGCGGAGGGGCGGGCGATCAACTCTGATGCGTGGCTACTCAAAGTCAAGCTCCACCTGCGACTAGCATCATGACGACATTTCCCTGTACGCCCATGTGTCGAATGAGCTACCTGCCCCCCAGCGTCCTGCTGCTCTTGCTACTGAGCCCAATTCGGAGGAGCGGGAGGCTCAGCGCGTGGAACCCAATTGCATACTCGGTTTGGGTGTGACGCTGCTGCGCGCCTTTCTCTTAGTTGCCTCCTGCCGTCGGCCGAGCGAGTGTACTTTCGCCAGGTCAAGACGGCGAAGGCATATCTTGATTGCTCACTACTCCACCCCTCCCCTGCTAGTCTAGGGCACCTCCTGATTCCCTTCTTATTCCCCGATCTCCATGCTTTCTCCAATGTTGCTGACCTCACTACCCACCTGCGTTCACGCAATGCTAGATTTTGCGCTGCTTGCACTGCTAACGACCTTGCTGAGCACGCCCGCCCCATGTATGCCACCCTGCACTTACCAGCGTCCCGCCTTCCAGAACGCCTCGCGCGTGTCCGTGACGCCCTCCTCGCCATGCACCCCATGGTGTCTCCTCTGTCTCTTGACCCGACTCCTACCTCCCACCACTAGGTCAGTCGTCCGTCTCGTGCTTGCCCCGTGTCTCCCCTTTCTAGTATGTACTCTATACTCCTTTGTTCTCGCGTCTCTCGTGCTCCGCCACCCTCTCCTGTCGCCTCCTCTATCGTCCCTTGCTGTCTCCTCCCCTCCGTTCTCTGATTTTCTCCGTTCCGCTCGCCCTATGGTCTTCCGTGTCAATTCCTCCCTCGTTGCCTAACCCACTGCTCATCCTCCATCCGTCTCTGCTCTTGTCGCTCCTGTCGCTTGACTACGCCCGTCATCTCCGCTCATGCCCATTCTCCTTCCGTCGGGGGTGTTCCTACCCTTGGTATATACGTCCTAGAGGACAGGCGGTACGAGCTAGCTTTCCTTACGGCCGCTGCCCCTCATTTATGCACCATGCTCCTAGCCCCTTAGGGTGACCCAGGCTGACATTCCAACCCCTCACGCCTACGTTGAGGCAATCTCAAGATACTGCGCCTCTCAGTGGATAGCAACCATGGACACAGAGATGGCATCTTGGAGGTTCTAACACACCTATGTCGATGTAGTTCCCCCTCCTGGGGCAAACGCAGTCGATGTCATGTGCATATTTAAGGTGAAGTGGTCACTCGAAGAGCCGCCTGCCTTCAAGACGCGCTACGTGGCTAGAGATTTCAGCCGGCGAGAGGGGTAATGCGACCCGAATATTACCTTCGCAGCGCAATGCGGCTACGAGCTTCACGAACTTGACTTTCCTATTGTTTTTCTCCATGGTAGCCTGCATGAGCAGATATTTCGCCACCCACATTGCTTCACTGTGTCTTTTCCTCATGGGGCCCATTGAAGCCTTCGACGGCAGGCTCCTCGTGAGTGACACGTCATTGTATTATACTATGGCTTACCCTCACTTCCTCCCGTCCTCTGCTGTGTGTATTGAGTAGGATGAGAGTACAGGTAGGAAACCCTAAGGGGTTGTACTCACTAGAGTATGCCCCACTACAGCCTAGAGCATACAAAATATAGTTTGACACACCCCCATAGGCAAAGTGGGGGATAGCAAACACAACAGACGGTCACAAGATCAGTCAAGAAATAGAACAAAGCTAAGCAAAGCTCAGGGTGGATCTCAAGATCACCACACATTCTGAGCACAAGCAAGCGGCCACAAGGCCAGTTCACATGCAGAGTTTATAAAAGCAATTGCAGTACACTAATCACAACCTAGCAAGAGCAAACATGCAGGTATAAACATATATATCAGAGTACAGCAAGTGCAAGGCAAGATCAGGAGACAAGCAGGTGAGGCAGAGTGGGCACAAGCCCAAGAGCAGTGCAGAAAAGCTGATGATCACTAGACCCAAGGGCCTTGGTGAAGACATCAGCAGTGTTGGCCTATGTGGCCACGTAAGTAAGACGAAGCTGACCACGCTGCTGCAGCTCTCGCGTGAGGAAGTAACAGAGAGCAATGTGCTTCGTTCTGTGCTCTAGTCTCTGGTCCTAACACAAGGCAATCATGGCCTTGTTGTCGACGTACAGAACTGGAGGAGAACGAGGCCGCTCACCCAAGTCGGTCAGCAGGTAGGTCAGCCAGCGGAGCTCCTGTGCAGCCATAGCCCCAGCGTAGATCTCGGCCTCACAGCTGGAACTAAGTACAGAAGAAGAGCGAGTGGACCTCCACGAGACAGAACCAGTGCCGAGGCTGAAACTGTACCCGTGTGTC